GTATTTTGTTGGATATCTAGTTTGCCAGTATCTTTTTCCACTCTGTAACTTGTTTTTTTATTCTCTAAATGGAGGCTTTCGCAGAGCAAAGGTTTTAATTTTGGTGAAGTTCAAGTTTTTTCTTTCATGGGTCATGCTTTTCCTCCTGCAGCTCTTTGCCTAGCCCTAGATCCTGAAGGTTCTGTCCCACATTTTTTCTTGAAAGTTTCGTTTTACATGTCCATGATCCATTTTGAGTTAATTTTTTTTTTTTTTAGTATAATGTATGAGACTTAGGTTTTCTTTCCTTCTTTCCGATGTTTGTCTTTTGTTTCCTTTTCCTTTTCTTGCCCTGGCTGACATCTCCAGGCCTCCACTGAGAAGTTCCCATCTTACAGGAAGAGCATTCGGTCTTCACCATTAAAGGTGACGTTAGCTGTGGGTTTTCATAGCTGTTCTTTATCAAGGCAAGGAAGCTCCCCTCAGTTTTTCTTTTTTTTTTGAGTTTTTATCACCAGTGGGTGTTGAATTTTGCCAAGTGTTTTTCTGTATCAGTTGATGGGATCATGTGATTTTTCTTCTTTAGACTATTCATATATTGGGTTACAGTGATTGATTTGATCATGGGTCATGGGATCCAGCCCCATGTCAGGCTATGGCTTTGTGCTCAGCAGGGAGTCTGCTTGAAGATTCTCTCCCTCTGCCCCTCTCCCCACTCGCATGCACTTTCTCTCTCAAATAAATAAATCTTTGGGGTGCCTGGGTGGCTCAGTCATTAAGCGTCTGCCTTCGGCTGAGGTCATGGTCCCAGGGTCCTGGGATCGAGTCCTGCATCAGGCTCCCTGCTCAGCGGGAAGCCTACTTCTCTCTCTCACACTCCCCCTGCTTGTGTTCTCTCTCTTGCTGTCTCTCTCTCTGTCAAATAAATAAATAAAATCTTTAAAAAAGGGGCACCTGGGTGGCTCAGATGGTTAAGCATCTGCCTTCAGTTCAGGTCATGATCCCAGGGTCCTGGGATCGAGCCCCACATTGGGCTCCTGGCTCAGCCGGGAGTCTGCTTCTCCCTCTCCCTCTGCCTCTCCCACTGCTCATGCTCTCTCTCTCTCTCTCTCTCTCTGTGTCTCTGTGTCTCAAATGAATAAATAAAATCTTTAAAAAAAAAAAAAATCTTTAAAAAAAAAAATCTTTGAAAACAAATCTCCACTTGGTCACGCCATATAACCCTTTTTACGTATTGTAGAATTACATTTGGCAGTATTTTGTTCAGGGTTTTATGTCTGTGTTCATCTGGGATTTATTATTTTAGCCCTTTGGCAGAGTTCTCTCTTCTCCACACTTACTTCAGCATCATGTGTTTTTTTGTGTCAGTTACTGTATTTTTCAGTTCAAAATGTTCATATGCTTGTTTTTGTATCTCCTATTTCTGTGCTTAGACTTTGTATTGTCATGCCTGCTCTAAACTCTTTGTCAGGTAACCCTAACATCTCTGTCCTCTCGGTATTGGCATCTACTGATTATCTTTTTACACTCAATTTGAGATCTTTCTGATTCTTGGTATGAAGAGTGATTTTCAGTTGAAACCTGTGTATTTGGGGCATTATGTTATGAGGCTGACCTTTTATTCGGACATTCTGTGGATTCTTCTTGGATAGGGCTCTAGCAGGGGAAAGGTGGCTCTGCTGCCTCACTCCCAGGTGGGGATGGAAGTCCAAGTTCCCCACTCAGCCTCCGGTCCCCTCATTACCACTGGGCAGGAGCCGGGGGTGCAGCTCCCCCAGGTTTCCACTGATGCTCCTCCCTGCCTGGGAGAGATCTTGTTACTGCTCCCCACTTGGCCACCTCTGACATCACCCCAAGGGAGCAGGAGGGGCTCCCATCAGCCTTTGCCCAATGGATGGGGATGGAACCACAGTGACTTTGCTGTTTGGCCGGAGTGGAGTTGTTATTGTTGAAGTTTCTGTCTTGCTAGGCCACCTTCCTAGCCCCTTGGCCAGAGAGAGCAGACTTGTGCTGGGGCTTTTTGAAAGAAAGTCTTCACCATTGGCATTTCAGCTCCAAGTCCGGGAAGTGTGAGGCAAAATGAAACCCCAGGGGACTCACCACCGTAGCCTTCCTTGGGTCCCAAGGTCCCTTGCCAGTCTGCCTGCGGTTCTCTACCTTTAAGAACCCCCTGGGTTTGCCGTACTTATGACACAGGGTTTCCGACTGTGCTGAGCAGGAAGAATAGGAAAGAGTACTTCTGTTCCATTTCCCCAAAAGCAGGAGCCTCCACTCTCTTCTCTGCCTTAGGAAACTGGGGCTGTGCACAATTGTGTTTGCCCAGAGTCATAAGGCAGGGTTCTCCAGGATCAGACCCAGACTTAAGGTTTTTCCATTCTGCTTCCACACTTCCCTCTGCACACGTCCTTGGTGATCTCCCCCACCTGTGTCACGCCTCTGTCCCACCTCTTCCTGGAGGCCTTCCTATTCAGTGCCACCCACCCCAGACTTGCCTGTAATCACAGCCTGTACCATGTAGTCTGATGTGCAGCTCGGTGTGTTCTGTACCGGTCGCCACTTGTTCCACGTGTCAGTGGTGGTACTTCCGTTGGATCACACCTGGGTTAAGGCAAGAGCGGCCTCCTCTGCCCCCTGCTGCACCCCCACCTCTATCTTCCACTTCTTACCAGAGTCTCTGAGGACCTCTGTTGTTCAGGCCTGCTGACTTCCAGAGCGTGCTCCAGTCCCTCGATAGAAGCCCTGCAGCGACTCCTGGACACCGTCTGCTCAGGACATGTAATGCCCACTCCTGTCCCTGTTCATTCTGCCTAGAGGGGCCTTTCCTACCAGCTGCTCCTCGTTTTTCCAGACTGGTTCCCATTCACCTCTTTCGTGAGCCCCTCCCTGACTGCACCCCAAACGGAATTAGTCCTTCCTTCCTCCCCTTCTCACAGAGCTCTCAGTGCTTATCAGATGATACTGTAACTGTTGCGCTAGCGGCCAGGCCCCTGCCTGTGAACTTCAGTGGAAGGAGGAGATGAAGATGACGTGTGTTTTCGAGTTTCCGTTACCAGTGGGACTAGACGCTGTTTGTAGGTGAGGAAGGAATGCGTTTGGTCTCACGCTTACAGAGTTGGGGTGGCAGCAGCACTTCAAGTGGAAATGACTTGCAGGCGCACGCAAATACTGCCTCAGAGGATGGTTCCCAAGGGACGCAGGGGAAGAAGACCCGAATGGCAAGGACACCGCCTTGAGTGCTGGGGAGGGAAAAGGAGCCTCCCCGGCACTGGATTTCTCCATGCAGCAGAGGACAGAGGCCCAGCTGCTCCTCAGTCTGCCCCACGTTTGTGACAGTCGAGTTGCCCTGGTTTGGGAAAAGGGAGCCAGGCCATGTCTTGAGGTTGAACATCTTCCTCCACCTTATTTTTATGTACCCTTGTCAGAATAGAAGCGAGATGTCCAGGCAGGTCTGAATGTGCTTTGCAATCACTCAGTTCTGTAATCACCTGCCAACATTACAGGAAGCATAGCAGTGTTGACTTTTAAACCTTGGCAGTAGGACATGGAGGCCCTGTGGCCAGAGCAGGCATTGGTGGTGAGTTTGAGAGCAAAAGAAAGCAGTGGTGGATTTTTTCAGGCAGAGAAGATGAGGAGTCTGGAAGGGAACTGTCAGCAACCTTGTCACACTTGTCCTTGGGGACCCTTACCTGATTTTAAGATAAGAATTTTGATTATTATATGGTTTCATACAAAATGTTACCCGTACCTTTCAGGGCTTCAGATTTTATTGAAATGCTGTCCTTAGCTGCTTTATGCTTTTTCAAAATAAAGATTATAAAACTTCAGCTCTGACTTCTCATTAAGTGTGTTTTTCTCCCCCAATTTATTCGTGTCAGGTTGGATTTGGTCCAGGGAGTCCCAGAAAGAAATCGAAAAAGAGAGAGAAGCGTACCGTCAGAGAACAGCTGCTTTCCAGCGGGATCTTGAAGCCAAGTACCATGCCGTGATCTCAGAAAACCGGCGTGCAGTTGCTCACTTGTCTTTGGAACTTGAAAAGGAACAAAACAGAACGACTAGTTACCGAGAAGCCCTTATCTCTCAGGGGCGCAAGTTGGTAGAAGAAAAGAAGCTTCTGGAACAGGAGCGGGCTCAGGTCATGCAAGAAAAGAGACAGTTGCAGCCCCTGAGAAGTGCGTATCTGAGCTTCCTGGAGAAGGAAGATGACTGGCAGAAGAGGGCCAGGCTTGTGCTGAAAGAGTTTGAAGACGCTCTTACGGAAAGACAGAATATCTACTGCAGCCTGTTCCTCCCCCGTGGCAGGCGGCTGGAAATCGAGAAGAACTTACTGGTCCGAGCATCCACTGACCCAGTTGCCGCTGACCTGCAGATGGCGGCTGGCCTGACTGACATATATCAGCACGACACATACTGTGGCGACGTCTGGAATACCAACAAACGCCAGAATGGGAGACTCATGTGGCTGTATCTCAAATACTGGGAACTGACTGTTGAACTGAAGAAGTGTAAGAGAGTTGAGAAAGCCATCCTAGAGAAGTAGGGCAGGAGCGAAGTACATCTTCAGTGATGCTGTGGCGTCCCGGGGTATCGCCGTGTTGTCGGTTCCTTCTGCAGCCACCTTCCAGCTGAGTGGTCTTCCATTCCCACCACCGTCTGAGTGGGACACGGTCTCTTCCTTGGCCCTCTTCAGCTATAAGGATGCAGTTTCTCGGGAGGATTTTTTTTTAAGCTGTAACATTTTATTAGGCTGAACAGTATAACGTCATATCTTTGCTTTAGGGTAAGATTGTTTTTAAGAAAGTCATACAGTATCAATCCTCACTGTAAGTAATTTTCTGTTTGTTTTTATCACTCCCTAAATAAATTCTGTTTTCTCCTCAAATTACTTTTCTCTCTCCTAGAATTATAAAAAGAAGTTGTCAGGTAATGAATAGAACTGCCTAATGAGGACAGAAAATAGTAACATTATCAAGGTTTCTTGCTGGTGTGAGCATCTCTCCCACCAAAGGGAGAGAAAGTGTTCCTTGTATCCAGTTGACACCCTGGTATGTGTTTGGGATTTGGCTTGTGTCTGTATTTAGTAAGCACATATTATTTATTAACAATGACATGTAATAAAAAATACTTGCCATTTAAAAGCAACAATGCCACCTATGTGTGTAAATCTTCACTCTTTATAAAATGTTTTTATATAGATTATCTCCATTTTACCACAAACTGATCAAAGGTAGGCACTTGCCCATTTTTCACAAAGCTAAGGTGAATCAGCCTCTCACACGTCACCCCTGTAATCCTACCCCGTGTAATCCCAACATGGGAAGAATATGTAGCAAAATCAGAGAATGGGACGCCTGGGTGGCTCTGACTTTTGTTCAGGTCATGATCTCAGGGTCCTGGGATCAAGCCCCGTGTGGAGCTCTGCTCTCAGTGGAGAGTCTCCTTTCCTCTGCCTCTGCGCCTCCCTCTGCTCATGCTCACTTGCTCACTCTCGCAAATAAATAAGGAAAATCTTTACAAAAAAAAAAAAAATCAGTAGAGGAAAAGGCGCGTGGGGGCAAGTGAGGAGCCTGTGCAGCTTCCAGAGTCTTCTCCCAGGGGAGTCATGGGAGTGCTCCCTCCCACCGCCCCCCCCACCAGCAAGGAGCGTGAACTGTTGCCAACCTGGGACCCCCAGAGACAGCCCAGCGCTGATGTTGATGGCTGGTCACGTGGGTATCCTCTGCTTGGCACGCACCCAGATTGCAGAATCCTGGAAGGAAAGCCGGTATCCTCTCAAACTACAAAATTTAGACACAGTGGGCTGCCCTTCCTGGTCGGTGGCAGGGAGGTCCTCTCCAAATCCCGGTTCCCCATGCCATCCAGGGGCCAGCCTTGCCGCAGGCCTTTGGAAGGCCCACAGTCTCCTTGTGCAGGTGAGGCAGCTGGACCTGCCGCCAGGAGAAGCTGTCTGGGCAGTGCGGCCCCAGAGGTGCTGGAAACTTAGAGGCAGTTCCTCGGTAGCAAGTGGCCCAGCAATGGCTGCGCTGAGGTCCGCCTGCTTTGGAGGCCCGTTTCTACCCGGCCTGCCTGCCTGTCTGTGGCAGGGAGACAAATTTAGGAATACTAAGCTGACAAAAAACTTCACGTCTAATTGTAGGGGAATGTCATTAGAGCTGGGTTTGGTCTGGGGACCAAAATGCTGAGGACTTACGGCCCAGTGGATCTGCATGGTTTATGCTCACATGTGGTTTTTAATCTTCAGAGCAATTTCAGAGACGAAGAAGCGGCTCAGAGCTACCGACCGAAAGGTCCCCCATGGGGCTGGGGTCCTCGCCCCACGCTCTGCTTTTAGCTGCTGTGCTCGGCACAAGATGGTTTCATGCTTTTCTTCTCCAGTGGCTCCTCCCGTCATCTTTCTGCTCAACTGTCACTGCTTGACCCAAACAAAAATAACTTACTCAGGTAAATCTGAACTAAAAAGTTTCTCTGGTTATTTGTATCACCTAGAGTGGCGTCCATTCAGTTTCTTTTACTCCACTGACTCTCCCGGTACCCTTGGATAAACCACCTAATGCTTTCCCCTTGGTTTTGTTTTTAAAAGGAGGGAAATTCAGGGGGCACCTGGGTGGTGCAGTGGGTTAAGCAGCCGACTCCTGGTTTCGGCTCAGGTCAGGATCTCAGGGTCTTGGGCTTGAGCCCCGTGTCAGGAATTCTCTCTCTGTCCCCCCCCCCCCCCCCCACCGTGTCTCTCTCTCTAAAAAGTAAATAAGTAAATCTTTAAAAAAAATGAGGAAAATTCAGCCAGCCATTTAGTAGGTAAATTTCAAGGTGAATTGTTAATCCTCATCCTATTTTCTAATGTCCAGCATGCTGTGAGCCTAGTCTTCAATAGCTTGATAACTATGTTCAGATAATTCAAATCAGTTTAGACACTGGTTTGATAGCAAAATCAGAAACTTGCTACAGAAAATTATGTTGGGCCATGTTTGTATTTGCATAGCACAGCTGCCTTCTACTAGCAAGTTTATTTGAGGGTTAATTTGATGCCATCCATCTTTTTAACACTGATTTTGTTAGGTTGGAAATTTGATGACTTCACAGATGTATCAAAGGAGGTCTGGACTAAGTGACACTAGAGTGGAACATTATTGAACTAAAAGGGTTTAAAATTGAGAAAGAGAGTAGGAGCCAGGAGCTGTTTGGTATGTGTGCAGGATTTGTGGGGACTTGGGAGTCAAACATCATTCATCCAGGCTGCTTTCCGGAAGGTCTCAGTAACTGAAACCTTGAGCCAGCAAGGCAAGGAGGATGCTCCAGGATAAAAGGGCCAGGGCTGAGGCAGGACCTGTCTCTGGAGGGAGCCTGTCTGTGCTGTAGTCAAGAGGACGGGGCGGTGGTTGCGGTGGGGGGCTTTGGGGGGGGGGTTCAACCTCTGCTTTCTAATTGTACTTACTGTGAAAGTACCTATTTAAGCGTGTTTTACTTTGGAATAAAGTTGGAAGGCTCAAGGATTGACCAGGATGTTCCAAAAATAAAACAAGAAGCAGGCGGTGATTCTGTAAATTAATCCCACTCAATTTATTTGTTAAATATGCTTTTCCTCCTTGTAAAAGTTCATAGAGACAGATACAGAATTCTCATATGTATTTCTTGTGTGTGTGTGTCTATAATGCATATGTGGACTGACAGATGAAGTGGTTGATTTCATGAGGACAAAGTAATCCTGCAAACATCACACCAATGATGCGATGTTATGACAGGGAAGAGACCACCAAAGAGCATGTGTGTTTTTGAAAAGGGAAGTTAGGGGCGCCTGGGTGGCTCAGTCGGTGCAGCATCTGCCTTCAGCTCAGGTCGTGGTCTCAGGCTCCTGGGATCGAGCCCCACGTCGGGCTCCTTCTTCCTCTCCCTCTGCCCCTCCCCCTGCTTGTGCGCTCTCTCTGTCTCTGTCAACAAAATAAAATCTTAAGAAAAAATGGAAAGGGAAGTTATGTCTAATTAAACTATGTAACAGAGTATTTCTATATGGGATTGTTCAACAGTCTGATTGCTAAACAGTTTACCCAGATCATCTCTCAGGAGAAGGAGGAAAAGTCTTTGTCATCACTTTCACTGTCTCAGTACTCTGTGAAAGCCATCTGCAGTGAATACACAGGGGCTGGTGAAGGTTCCTGTGCTCACTCGGTATCTCGTGACAGAGCATGGGGACCCCACCCAGCACAGAGGACATCCTGAGCCCTGCAGAGAGAGTTCCGGACTGTGGAGGCCAGAGGGATGCCACTGGGCCTCCTGGGGGCAGCCTGAGCCATGCTCGTTGGATCTGCCCTGCCCCATGTGAGCAAGATGCTCCTCTCCTCCAGCAGTGACAGAGACAGCTGCTCGGTTTCTCTCTGCGTCAGGACTCCGGCTGTAAGCAACAGAAAGCGATTCAAGCTACCTGAGACAGTTTTGAGGGGGCTTTATTCAAGGACATGTCATGGGACCTCAGGGCAGGAATGGAGACTGCAGGCCATTTCCTCAGAGAGGAACCAGAAATGGCCAACAACGGTCAGGAACCTCGGAGCAGTGGTCTCCCTGCCTCATAGCTGCTTTAATCTTTCTCCTTCTGGGTCTTCAGAATTTGCGTCTTATCTGTTTGGTTCCCACGTGTGGCAATTTGGGGACTACTGGGTTACAGGCTGCTGTGGCATTTGAATGGAGAGGGTGCAGGGAAATCAGGCGTGTGGCTTTTGTTAACCTCACAGGAGATCTTGAAAAAAGAAATTGAGGCTTATTGGCTGCCTCTGTGGCAGCTCTGAAGGAAATCCGTCTCCTGCAGACCCTCCGACAAGTCAGGGTCTTGTCAGGGTGCAGACAGACCGCAGGGAAGCGTTGAGTTCCGAGGCATGGCGCCCCAGCCGCCCGCTGCGCCGGGAAGCAAGCGCACGCCTGGCCTGCTGTGCTGCGTGGATCTAAGGGTGAGGTGCCGCACCCTGCTGTGCGCGCTCACGTGTTTCCCTCCATAGTGTCCGGGCATGGACACTGGCTCTCTGTGGGTGGCCTGCAGTGGGTGGGGGCTGGGAGCCCGGCTGCCTGGAGCCAGGGCACAGAAGCTCATGGAGGGGTGGACGGGGCTGTTGGCAGGATTTGTCACATGAGGGCAGATGCTGCAGCCCCCGCCGAGGTGCTGAGAAGTGCCCTGCTTGAAAGGGGCTCTACCCACAGCCAGGGCTGACTGTTGTAGGGGATGCCGTGGTTTTGGGCCCCAGGCTGATGGGGCTCGGGAGTGCCAGCAGCAGGTGGGTAGAGTCCCTGCAATGGGCATCAAGACCCAGGTGAAAGCTACAGCACTTCCACCCATAGGGAGCTGCCGCAGTGGCCAGCCATAGAGCATGGGGTCCTGAGGTCTAGTGCGTGACAGCTCATCAGGGGGTTGCTCAAGCCACATAGTGAGAGCACCAGTGATGGTAAGAGCCCCAGGCTCATGCGCCCCGCACAGAGAGTCCCCTGAGTCTGTGGATCTCTCCTAGTCTGGGGCGTAGAACTGGAAAGAACCATCTGGAACAAAAGTGGAGTAGGAGGCCCCTGAATCTGTACTCCCTCTTTGCCAGGATGGGCAACAGGAAGCAGGGCAGACTTCCTGGAGGAAGTGCCATGATGAATCCACCACAAAGGACTTGGGGAAGGTAAAGACCATGTCCTTGATGTCCCGGAAGGTGGTTTCCCAGTGTCCATCATGATCCTCACCCTGTCCCCATTCAATTCAGCAGTCTGGCCCCTGGGAAGATGAGGTGAATTTGGGCACTGAGAGGCCTTCAAGCGTCACCAGGAGGAGCCGCAGCACAGCTGCCCCGTGGTACCCTCCCAGCCTCTTGACCCTTGGCCCTCTCTCTGCCCCTCTCTCTGCCTAGGTGGTGGGTTTTCTTGTCCCTACAGTTTGCCGTTGCGTTGGATCCATGCCTTCGCAGGATGAAAAGCACAGGGATGCGCCTGGGTCCTGGCAGATCCCTGGGACTGACGTCACATGGACATCGTCAGAGAGCCTGTGAATCCCAGGCTGTGCAGGTGCAGCGAAAACCCCTCATGGCTGGAGACAGTACTTCAGGGTTGGGGCCTAGCAGGTGCGCAGGAACAAGTAAATGACAGGCACCAGGATGGCATAAGTTATGTCCTGAGTTACGGGAGGCCTCAGTTCTGCTTGGGCTGCTCCACGTGCTTTGAAATTGCTCCAAATGTGCCTCCCCAGGCTCTTTGACTTTTATGGGGGCTTGTTCCTCAGAAGCCCCAGGGGCAGGGGCTGTTGGGAACATTCACCACCAGCAGACACCCGCGTGCCCACCTCCTGCCCCAGCCACTGCAGAATCCCTGGGCCCTTCTCCACCACAGCTGCCTGACTCAGCCACATACATGCTGGGGTCCTCTCCTGCTGGCCACAGACATCAACAGTTGAAATCACTCCACTCTCCAGAGTTAGATTCAAAGCATCGCAGAATTTTGACCTGTGCCTGCTCCACCCTCTTTTCAGGGCTTCTTGCAATACCAAATTCCATGTGCCTGAAATAGGGTTCAGAGACTTTGCCAGCAGGACAGAAGAGGGCGGGTGGCCCAGAAAGCAGATCTGAGGGGCACAAAGAGTTAGAAGTCACCTCTTCCCTCCTGCGCACTTTTTGGACATACTCCTTTCCTGAAAGACCCAGGAGGAACATTATTGCCTTCCCCAGCAGATAGACTCCTGAGACAGCTATCACTCTGGGGGCCTATACCTTAGGCAGCCCCACTTGGTTGTTGGGGAGAAAGCCATGAGACATACGGGGGGAGGCAGCATGGGATTACCTGGATGGGGACTTACCTGGGGAGGGGGGAGCATGTAGGGTATAGACATACCTGGGGGGGCAGCATGGGATTACCTAGATGGGGACTTACCCGGGGAGGGAGGGAGCATGTAGGGTGTAGACATACCTGGGGGGGCAGCATGGGATTACCTGGATGGGGACTTACCCAGGGAGGGGGGAGCATGTAGGGTGTAGACATACCTGGGGGGGCAGCATGGGATTATCTGGATGGGGACTTACCCGGGGAGGGGGGGAGCATGTAGGGTATAGACATACCTGGGGGGGCAGCATGGGATTACCTAGATGGGGACTTACCCGGGGAGGGGGGGAGCATGTAGGGTGTAGACATACCTGGGGGGGCAGCATGGGATTACCTAGATGGGGACTTACCCAGGGAAGGGGGGAGCATGTAGGGTGTAGACATACCTGGGGGGGACAGCATGGGATTACCTGGATGGGGACTTAGCTGGGGGAAAGAGGGGCCCCAGAACTGGACAGAGGGTGGAGCCTGCTCACACAGCGACTCAAACCCCCAACCAGAACTTGGGGGTTCTAGTGTGAGAAGATTGGGCCCATCAAGCACTAGCCTCTATCTTGAGAAAATATTTCATTTTCATACTCTTAGATATTTTTAAAAATTCTGAATTGCATTAAAATTAAAGCCACGTCTGAGGAAGGCACACTACTGTTTTATTAGTATCTAATCATCCTAACACTTGGCCCTTTGCAGGAATCAGATCTTGGTAGAAACCAAGTCCAAGCACTTGTGGGTGAGGCGAGCAGAGCCAGATTCAAGACCAGAGGCCAAACTCGGGATCTGACAAGATGGCCGGGCTGTCCCCCAGCATTATCAAGGTAACCCAGCATTTGCTGGCAGAACCAGTTCCTGGCATTAAAGCAGAACCAGATGAGAGCAACGCCCATTATTTTCATGTGGTCATTGCTGGCCCCCAGGATTCCCCCTTTGAGGGAGGGACTTTTAAGCTTGACCTATTCCTACCAGAAGAATACCCAATGGCAGCCCCTAGAGTATGTTTCATGACCATAATTTATCATCCGAATGTAGACAAGTTGGGAAGAATATGTTTAGATATTTTGAAAGATAAGTGGTCCCCAGCACTGCAGATCCACACAGTCCTGCTATTGATCCAGGCTTTGTTAAGTGCTTCCAATCCAGATGATCCATTAGCAAATGATGTAGCGCAGCGGTGGAAGACCAACAAAGCCCAAGCCATAGAAACAGCTAGAGCATGGACTAGGCTATATGCCCTTAAAATCAATCTGATCATCAAGTATGCATCACTTCTCCTGTCCTGCCAAGACTTCTTCCTTTTTTGTTTGCATTTAATGGACACACAGTCTTAGAAACATTACAGAATAAAAGCCCAGACATCTTCAGTCCTTTGGTGATTAAATGCACATTAGCAAATCTATGTCTTGTCCTGATTCACTGTTGTAAAGCATGAGCAGAGGCTAGAAGTACCATTTGGATTGTTGTGAAACGTTTAAAAGCAGTGGCCCTTCTCTGCTTTTATTCATTTCCCCCCTCATGGTTTGAGTATAAAGCACTGTGAATGAAGGCAGTTGTCAGGGTTAGCTGCAGGGGTGTGCGTACTTTTCTTTATTACTTTTTTTGAGGGGGAGAGGTAGTTTTATTTTAATTTTATGGGCTCCTTTCCCCCTTTTTATGGTGATCTAATTGCATTGGTTAAAAGCAGCTAACCAGTTCTTTAGAATATGCTCTCTAGCCAAGTCTAACTTTATTTAGACACTGTAGATGGACAAGCTTGATTGTTTGAACCAAAATGGGAACATTAAATAAACATCACAGCCCTCACTAATAACATTGTGACTTTGCTGTCAAGTGTAGAATCCTTCCTTCAAGAAAAAACTTGTGACCATTTTGCATGGCTTGTCTGGAAACTTCTGTAAATCTTATGTTTTAGTAAAATATTTTTTGTTATTCCACTTTGCCTTAGTACAGTTTGTTTTACTGTGTTTATGTCATTTTCCCAATGTGACATTCGTATTTAAAAATTAAAACTGATGGAACATTCTCTTTTAGTCTTTACCACCTGACAAGGTGATCTGGCAAGAGGTAGATTTTGCCAGTTTCTTTTCACTGATGCAAACTTGTGTAAAGATATCACTGAATGCAGTATTTACAAGCTGGCCCTGAGCATGCATAAAGCATCAGTATTTGGTATGTTTTTACCTCCTAGAAATTTGAATAAATGTGTTTGTGTTGTCTGGTTAGTAAGAGGATCATTGGTGTCTGCCAAGATGTTTGGAACTTACTGTGCAGGAGAGTCACAGCAAAGCAGAGTTGTGACTGTGTGTAGGACTCACATGTTCTGCCACATTTGTTTGTGTCTGGCATTTGGGATATGACCTATTTCTCAGTCCTTGTCTGGAAATTTCACGTGTAGCCACTGGTGTGTGCTATTAGGAAACACCAATCTGATAATCATGTGGGGTTGCTGAGGCTTTTATGAGTCTTCCTTATAGACCTGATGAGCAGATCTCAAGCAGCGAGCCTGCGTAAGTGTCTTCTGGAAGGTTCCTTCCTTTGAGAGTATTAGATCCTCAGTTAATGATTCTTTCATATTTGCTATGGGAGCTCCTATTGTTTGATATTCAGTGATTTTTTTTCTGCATTGACAGAGTTCCTCCCCTCAAAAAAACTGTTCTTTCCCACCCTTCTCCGTATCGAATTCCCTATCCTTGCTCTTTGTAAGTCATCAGGATAGCCAGTCCTAAGTACGTAAATGTTAACCCGTGGGTTGGAACCTTTAAGGTAATGGATATTGTAGCCCATCTGAATGTCCCCCACTCTTGATTCTCGTAACTTCTGGAGTTTCTTCAGCATGTGGTATATTTTATTGTGCTCCCTTGTAAGATGAAGAATTATCTATTAAAATTACATTTTCAACAACAACGACAACAAAGTCACCGAGTCCAAATGTTGTAATTAAACATTTACATGCCAGGACTCAACCACACAGAGGAGCTCCCCTCGGTCTGAGCAGAGGGTCCTCTGAGGTCAGCATCCAAAGGGAGGTAGGAAACAGGGGCAGCAACGGTGCTTTCACTGGCAGGGCTTTCTTGCAGTGACAGAGGCCCTCAGGGAAGCCATTCTGCATCCTCAGGGCTGAAGCCATTAACAACAAGTCGCATGTGCCATGCTGGGCAGGAGTTTGTAAATATGAAAACCCATATCAGCGCTGCAGACGTCCCAGACGTGGCGCAGGGAGTACTGAGTTCTGGGACAGTTCTCACATTCTCTCCACCCCCGCTGGACATCTGGGCTCCCCTCCTTGCTCCTGTCCAGCCCAGCACCATTCTACCATCTGCCACCGATGTGGCCTCGAGTCACCTCTCCCAGAGCAGGGCTTCCTCTCGTGCAGTGCTTAACTGATGCCATGTACGAGTCTCACTAAGAGATGCGTTAACTGGTGGTGGCTGGGGGAGCGGACGCCCAAGCCTGCTGACTCAGGATGTCCAGGCTGCTGCACAGCTGAACTGCAAGGCCCCCCTTGGTCTGCTCAGGGGCCTACTCCATCTGTTCCAGTGCTCTGGAAAAGTTTTCTAGAGCAGCTTTGAAGGCTCGCAGTAAGAAAGCTCCAAGTTCATTGCTTGTTTCTTGGATATCTGGATCAAAACTTCCAAAGAGGGGCGTGCAGACTTGGATGTCTCCCCGGCCAGCCCGCCGCAGCACTGCACGGAGATCCTCGGCAATCACATCATATTTCTGCTGGTCGAATTTGGACACGGCCAGCTCGTCCTGGGGGTAGGCGGTGCCTTCAGGGTAGCAGTCCTTGGGCACTGGGAACTCAACATACCGCAGCTTGGGCAGCTCGCAGAGAGCCATGAAGAGGCGCCTCAGGGCCTGGGCCGGCAGCGGGTTCCCCAGGAAGCGGAGCTCAGAGAGCTCGCGACAAGGGCTCAGGGCCAAGATCAGCAGGCTCACGTGGCCATCCTCGATGCTGCACTCCTCCAGGGTGAGGACCCTCAGCGTCTGGGCAGCCCGGCTCAGCAGCCTGAAGAAGGTGGAAGGAAACAGGCTGAACAGGCTGTGTCCACTGAGGTCCAGCACCTCCAGGTGGGTGGCATGGGTGCAGTCTGCCAAGAAGGCCATGTCTGCGTGGTTCAGGGAGCAGTTGGCCAGGTCCAGGGTCCTCAGTGGCGTCCGTAGGGGGCTAGGGCAGGATGGAAAATGGCACAGATGAGGGGCGGTCCAAGAGAGGACCTCTGGGAGGAATTCAGATGGATTCTATCTCATAGGTCAGCAGACTGCAGCCCGAAGGCCAAACCCACTGCTGCCTGATCTTACTCAGCCTGACAGTAAGATGGTTTGTACATCTTTAAACGGTAGGACAAATCAAAAAAGAATGATACTCTTGACATGTGGAAATAACACAAAATTCCATTTTTAGTGTCCATAAATAAAGTGCCAATTAGAACTAAGGTCACTCATTCGTCTGTGGCTGCTTTGGGGCTGTGCCGCCAGAGCTGAGTCCTTGAGCCCTGGTGTGGCCGAGGATGGTGCAGAATTAACTTTACCGAGACAGGCCTGGCCTCTGTCCTCAGCTCCTCAAATGTTAGATCTGCTTTGCCGACCACCCACTGTGTCTGCTCCCATGCTTGCTCTAGCACCACGGTGCACGTGAACTGGTATGAAACAATTTTATGGTGAAAAAGGGCCATGGGGCCATCCAGTCCAGTTTTCGTATGGCCTGGGACCTAAAGACCCTCCTGTGTTCTGCGGTGAGTGGGGTAGATGGCCCGGCATCAGCAAATGCACGGCTCTGCCGGCAGTTCTCAAAGTGAGGGACTGCACCTGCCCCCGGGACTTGTGAAAAATGCACATGCTCAGCCCACCCCGCCCTGGGGACGCTGGGCCTGGGTCTGGTGCTACCAAGCTGAGCACTCAGTGCAGGAGAGTATATGCGGTCCAGTTCTCTGCCCACCCCCTCGCCTGGGTCCCCCACACCTGTACTCCCTGCGTGCTGAGAGCCTGGTGTCTACCCACCACGCTGTCCTTTTCCCGGCCCCTCCATCCAGGTCTGTTGTGTGGGCTAAAGAAGCCAGAGTGGCCCTTGTGAATAAGGAGGCGATCACGTCATCCTCCTGCTCAGAACCTCCAGGGGCTTTGCTTGCTCAAGAAAAGCTGAAGCCCTTCCCTCCTTCCTCCCACCGCCCCCACGCTGCCCTGCCTACTGACCCCACCTTCTCCCTGCTGACCCTTGACCCCTCCACATCACCAGCTTGGGCCTTTTGCTCCTCTCACCAGGCTGCTGCAGTCTGCAGGCTCAGTGCTCCGGGTCTCTGCTCACAGGTCACCTCAGGGACTCAACCTTCCCTGACCACCCACCGTTCTCCGGACCCCTGGCCCTGCTGGTGCTCCCATCCTTGTGCATTGTCCTCCCCTCACACAGGTGGACCCGCTGACTGGCTCCAAACCAACACGGCACACAGAAGCAGTGACAAGTCAGTCTCAAGAGCAGGTTGGGACTGTGGCTTCTACCTGGGTGATCTCTGGTTCTCGGATCAGCCGCCCTGTTGTAAGAACTCCCAGCAGCCAAGACTCAGAGGCTGCCCGCCAGCAGCCACACGCAGAGCTTGGAAACTGATTGCCTCAGCCTCCCAGCCCTCCAAGCCCTTCAGAGGAGACCACAGCCCAGAAGACCCTAGCTGAGCCGGGTTCTTGACGGAGCTTGTTGCCATATGCCCAGTGTTGGGATAATTTGTTACAAGATAGGTGAGTAATACAATATAAATATAATATAGTCACTTCTATGTTGTTTGTTTCACTAATTAGCAAGTTTCCTGTCTGCTCACTGACAGAAAACAACAGTCCTCCTTGAGTTCTCTGTGCTGCCAGGCTACACACAACCCAACCCCACTGGGTCACCCCCCTCTGTCTGTGCCCTCCTGCCACTCTGGGCCCTCCTGGAGTAAAGGCAGAGGGAGCTGGGAACCTCGTGGCCTTGTAAGCAGCCAGGTGCCATCTGGTGGTCCCTCGTACATCTTCAGCCTGGCTCCCCAGAGGGCACCCTGTTGCCAGATCTGCGCTGAGGAGCTGTGAGCAGAGACCCCGCTCACCCGGCCTGGCCCTCTGTGCTATCACCCGACTCACCCGAGCAGTTTCGGAATCTTCCCTGTCAGCGTGGAGAAGGCCACACTCAGTTCAGTGAGCTGGCTCATCTGGCTGAGCTCCCAGGCAATGGAGGTGAGGAGGGGGTCCTCGCCATCAGGGGTTGAGGTGCTGGTGGGGGGCGCATCGAAGGCCTTGGCAGGCAGGGTGAGCGAGGCCAGCTGGGGGAAGCCCACCTGGGCCAGGAGCTGCTGCACGTGGCCAGCATGCAGCCGCACATTGTGCACCACCTCCAGCCTGCGCAGCTCACCTGGCCTGGCCAGACGCAGCACCTGCAAGAGTTGGCTGGGGCCCAGACTGTCTGCCCGGAAGGAAAGGCAGTGCACACGCAGTGGGGCAGGGCCTGCCGGCCCCAGGGCCTGCACCACCACCTTGAAGTTTCCCTCTGTGACAAAGAGATCGGCGAGGACCCAGACGGGGCGCCGGGCCCCTGGGGACTCTGCCTGCAGCCGGCAGCATGTCCTGGCTAGCAGCTCGGTGCGGCCCCACCTGCCCAGCGCCCTCCCACAGGGGCACTGCTGCACCTGCATGTCTCGGACGCCTGTGAGGTCAGCCACACGCAGCCGCCGTGGGCCCCCAGCCCGGAGCACGTGGTCTGCAAGGCCCTGTACACAGGCCTCCAGGCAGGCCCTGCAGGTGCGGTCTCGCAGGTCCTCTGGGGGTTCTGAGCGCGGTCCGAGCAGCGCACTCAGCCGGAACTCCTCCAGTGGCCAGTGTTCCAACAGGACACGGATCACCTCCGCCTGCTCCAGCAAGTAGCTAGCTTTGAACAGGAGTGGGTAGAGGTTGTGGGCCACGCCGTCCAGGCTCTGTTGGGCCACCTGGGGGTGAGACACCAGGGCCTCAGCAGAAATGAAGCGTAGCGATCTCATTGTGCCCGCCTGTGGTGGCCCAAAAGCAAGACCGAGCTCTCCCCTTGAGATTCTCCCAAAGATGTATGCCCTTCTTGTTTATTTTTAGCTGCAGCTGCTGTGAGCAGTTCGCCTTTGCCAGAAAGTAGTGAGCAGCCCCTTTGGTCACCTGATGGCTATTCTGGTCGTGGAGGCGTCTGGCAGTGGTCAGCCTGTCCTTGTGGTGCTCAGCTGGTGAAAGCAGAGCTGTCCGAGTGCTTGGCTCAGGGACACTAGGCCCCTGAAAAGTGCCACTCCTGCCCACCGCAGGGGTGGCCTGTGCTTGGGAGCTGCAGTGGGCTGCATGGCCCTGGGCGTGGACCCGGGAGACCCCAGATGAAGGCCCTGCTGCCCAGGGCCACGTCCCCTCAATGTCACGGGAGCCAGGCTCCCTGGGTGAGGCCTTCAGGTGACGTCCCTGGGTACAACAGAACCAAGGAAGAGAACCGTGACCACGTCTTAGAAAAACACGTCTCATTTATTTATATTCCTAAAGTTGGGAACAAGTCAGCATCGAAACAAAGTAACAAAGAAAACAGCTTACAGCAGCTGGAAATCGCCAAGTCACTGTGCTGTGGAACCAGCCTGTGCACCTGGCTGCCACCTGAAGGATGGGGGTCTTGTGGGGAAAACACCCCACAGCAGGAAGCTCATTCAAGTTCTGGCATCTACCCAGGCTTTCCCTGCTTATTATTATTCTGCTCCTCCATTTGGTGAGGGGTGGTCCTCTCGGGACACTGTCCACACCCCAGACCTCAGGCCCAGCTGCTGTGCGCTCACCCCAACCTGGGTCCCAGGCCCACAGGTGGTGGTGGTGGTGACTGGTGGCCCCACTATCTACACATGCCTTGTTAAAAACGAAAGAAAACCGAGATTCCAAATATACTCAGAGGCAACCCCTGCACCTGGGATACACCCCAGTGGGTTCTGCTCTTGGGCAGTGGGACCACTGCCCACGGGCCTGCGTTGCCTGGAGGGCCAGTGAAACATGGTCCCAGAGGGCTCGCCCTGCTCTGAGACACCCCAAGTCTGTCTGGACCTCCCCATGGGAACCAGGGTTCCCCGTGCTCCCACCCCAACCTCGCTGCAGCCTCCAGAGCATTGGGGGAGCTCAGAGCAGTGCGCACATGGAGGTCTGGGCCACCTGGCCCTCTGAGCCCCTGAACTGGGGTGGAGAAGCTGTGCAGGTGGGATGGAAGAAGGCCAGACGATGTCCAGGCAGGCAGGACCCATGGCGTGCTGACTGCGTGGCCGGCGCTGGAATGGGGGTGTGTCAGGAGCCCCAGCATGAGTGCCTCATTCCAGACCTCCGGCCCAGGTCTGGGTGGAGGCCCCTCTACTCCCTCTGATGGGGACTCTCCCCGGAGGGGCTGAGCCTCTTCCAAATACATCACAGCTGTGAAAGAAAGGCGGTAGTTACTCACGGCCACTTGGTGCCCAGGGTGTGCAAAGCACAGAGTCCTTGTCTGGGAGGTACTGCTGAGGCCTTGCACCCTGCAAGGCCCTGTCAGACTCATGGACACACAAGCTTTTGAAGAGGCACTTGGGGCCAGCATGGACAAGGTCAGGGCAACAGAGACAAGAGCGTTCTCTGCAAGGCCGGCTGCCTTCATGGTGCATTCCGCGCCTGGGTCTAGGCCCAGATGGAGCCTGCCGGGTGGCCACCTTGGCTGGCATCACCATGCATCTGGGGGTAAAAAGGTTCTGGCCCCGAAACGTGTCAGTTCTGTGTTTGCCGTTCTGATCCCAGAACACGAGTGCATGTGTGCGTCCCAGAGCATCCTCTGTCAGGGCTCCAGGGCAGGGGCTATGAGTGGATGTCGGGGAGGCCCCTATTCTCAGGACAGGGTGCTGGGTCTCCCAGGAGCCACTCCCAACAGAGGGGTGCCCTGGAGGTTGGGGCGGGTGGAGGTGGTCCCCACTGGCTTCCGTGGCTAGGCCTCTGGGGAGTGACTGCACCAGGGGCCAAGGGCCCCCTCCTGTTGCAGGAATTCCTGAGGTCTCAGAAATAATTCTACACCACTCTCTTGGGTATGCAGTTTCCAGGGGGTTTAGACAGCAAGGTCCTGGGGAGGTTGGTCAGGGGACAGGGGTAACGGGAACAACCTTGCTGGCCAGGGTGCCCCTCCTGGGGGGGCTGTATCACGTCTGTGACTGTGCTTGGGAGCATCTGGAACAAGGTGGAGACATGGCCAGGCAGTCTGGCTGCTGGTGGCACGCTCAGCACCTTAGGGTGGCAGTGGACAAGAGCATCCTCCCGTTACTTCAGGGTAGCTGGCACAGCCTACTAGTCAAACCACTGTCCAGAAACCTTTGTTCTGGCAGAAGGAGAGGAAATCACTGATTAGAGCCCACGTCACTGGTCATCGTCAGTGATGTGGGGCGTGTGGACTAAAGACCCGTCCCCCACACTCTACGCTCAGCATACCCTCAGACTCGGCCCTTCCCTCTGATGCTGCCCAGAAGCTGGACTGGAGTGTCTCCCCAGAACTGGGGGGGATGGGGGTGCCTCCGCAGAACGAGGACCGTGCTTGCCAAAGTGGACACGTGTGTGACCTGAGGCTGGACGAAGGTCAGTTGAGACGATCTCTGTGAAAGAGACTTCCTCTCTGAGTGTTCCCCTCCCCTGGTCACCCCATCCCTCCCTCTCAGGGGTGATGTGTCTGTGTGTACCTGCAGGGCTGTGTTTGGGCTCTCCCCTGCTGGCAGTGGACAGGGAAGGGCCAGTTCACAGGCAAAAAGACCCACCAGGATCCCTGGGCGGGTCCTGAGCCTCCCACGCCGGGGCGGGGGGTGCGGGGGGTGCGGGGGGCGTCTCAGGAGAGGGGACTCACCGTTGTGGTGTACTGGCTGGGCATCTGCAGCCGTGAGCCCCTCCTGGGGACAGCAGGGGAGGCGCTCTGGGGGCCCCCCTCAGAGAACAGCCCTGGGAGCCCAAGGCCACTGTCCCCCGATGACGTGCACTCCGTCACTGCAAAGAGGGGCTGGGTCAGGGCTGGCTGCCCTCTCACCTCTGTGCTCAGCACTCAAGGCCCCCGGAAGCGTGTAAATAATGAGGCGTGTCCTGTGCGTGCAGACTTATCCCAGGACAACCGTGAGGCCGGGTCAGAGCAGACCGGATGGCGCTGCTGGAGGCCACACACCCTTATGAGCAAGTGTCTCCCGACCCTGCTTTTCCGAAATCAGCCGACTGGGAGGGAGGTGGTCAGGTGGCCTCTCCAAGCAGGGAGCCTCCGGCTCACACCAGGCAACTCGAAGGGGAAACACAGAAAATGAGACCAAAGAAAGGCCACATGGCTTAAATAAAGAGCTGGAACAGGTCGGACGAGGTCTCCGCCCCAGAGGGCTGTCGGGGCCTGCTCTATCAGTGCAGATGAAGCTGCGGCCTCGGCCCTGCCCGCCGCATAGGCACAGACTCCCGTCGGCTGGCTTCTGTGCAGGGGTCACAGTGCTGTTTCTGCCCAGAGCTGAGGGGGGCTGAGCAGAACCCTCCTGCACAGACCCTGCACCTCCACGGGAGAAGAGAAAGCCCCACCTCCAGACTTGGGCTTCAGTGGGGTGTGCCAGCCCACGTGGGAGCTGGCGAGGACGCCAGCAGGAAGGTGCCGTGGCTCTGGGCTGGCAGTGTGGGTGCGCCTGGAGCCGTGCTCCCCGTGGGCCCTCCCAGGACACAAGCTCGACCAAGGTGGCCGCTGTTCTGAGCAGGTGTGCAGCCCCTGGAGCACCTGGGCACCCCCACAGGTTTCAGGCCCAACGCCTCCATCTGGGTAGAGACGGGTTTGGGGTTGGTGGTGCCCTCCGAGTGCTGTCACGGTGGCAAAGTCACGCTGGGGGCTTGGAAGCATGTGTGTCCCAAGCAGTGTTGCCCTGAGGAGGGGCCTCACCAGGGCTGTGGTACTGTGGGATGGATTTTTCTGGGAAACCAGATACCTGTGACCCTCCACGTCACACCTGTGGTGATTCTGCACACGCAGGAGGCTGAGGAAACCAGCCAGGTGGGCCCTGCCAACACATCCGCTCCCTCCACGTGGAGCTGAGGCCAGGCCGGCGCTCACAGACCACAGCACCACCGCGTATCCGGGGCGCGGTTGAACAGGTGGATGTATGAGCCCGGCCATGCGGCCCACAGCATATGGACACAGTCCACAAAGCACACGCGTGTCGCTCACAAAAGGGCGTTTGTGCTCCATTCCCACTCCCCGCAGTCACGGATATGCTCAGCCTTCATCTCTATTTTCCCATTAGTCCTTCTGTTCTCTGTTCTCTTCTCTTTCTACTACGTTCTTTGGGATTGAGCTACTCTTACAATTCCGTTTTATCTTCCTGTAGGTGTATTAGCTGTAAGTCTTTGTTTTGTTATTTTAGGGGTCAGTTGGGGTTTAAAATGTCTATCTAACAAATTAGGCGCCTCCCGTGATATCGTACATCTCGGCCACGATACAGAACCGCCACGTCTCCATACGTTCTGTGCACACACATCCCACCAGCCTCAAGGACATTAATGTGGTGACCCCTTCCCACCGTGCTTGTTCAGACAGCCCACTGTCTCTTACAGAGCTTTCAACAGAAGAGTCTTCCTTTCTGCTGCCTCTGTTCCACCTAGTGTCACTGTCCTTCTCCCTGGAGAACATCCCTTAACATTTCACGTGTGCTGCTGAGGAACGGTTTCAGCTTTCATGTGCATGAAAATGTCCTTGTGTCACCATTTCTGAAAGACATATTTGTCACGCTGAACTCCAGTTTGATGGTTTTTCCTTTCAGATCATTTTAACTGTCCCTCCCCCACCCCGTCGTCTGCGATGAGAAATGTGCTGCCAGCCCGCCCTGTCCCTGTGCGCAGAACACGCCGACTCTCTCTGGATGCTTTCAAGATGTTCTTTCTGTTCATCACCAGGTTTCCAGTTTGTGATGTGCATTCATGTGTGCTTGGGGCTCATTGGCCTTTGGGCCTGTAGGTTTACACCCTTCACCAAATCAGGGAAATATTCAGCCACTGTTCCTTCAAAGTTTTGTTGTCCCTCCATTTTGGGGTCTATTATGTGTTTATGAAGTTGTCGGAGTTGTCCCACGGCTCACCGATCTTCTTCCTTGATTCTCGGTGTGTCACTTTGGACAATTTCTATCGATACATCTCCACTAAGTCATGCTTTATGTTAACCCTACCCAGTGACACGTTCACCTTAAGTATTGTGGCCTTTTATTGTGCTTAGTCCGTCTTATCTTCCCTGTTGAGACTGAACATTTTGGACATCAGGGACAGAGAATGATAGTGTGAATGCCAGGACTGGTAATTCTAACAACCACATCAGTTCCAGCTGGTTTTGCCTGATTACTGCTCTTGTTATGGTCCGTTTCCTACTTCCTTGCATGCCTAGCACCAGCCAGTGTGTATCTACCCTGTGGGCTACTGGATATTTTTGTAATCCTATAAATCTCCTTAGGCTTTGCTCTGGGATGCAGTTAGATTACCTGCAAACACCCTGTATTTATGACATGGTGGCAGGTCAGCAGGAATGTTCAGTCCAACACCCCTCCTGAGCAAGCCCTCCTGAGGACTTACCACCACCCTGGGGATGGGGCTGTTGCCCGTCTGCTACTGGGAACAGGTGTGTGTGTGTGTGGGGGGGTACTCTCTAGTCCTCCACATGTTCTGGCCTGGACAGCCTCCTCAGGTGCGGTGCTGACCAGCATTTTGCTGGACCCAGACCTTGGTGCAGTGCTGACCAGCATTCTGCTGGACCCAGAGACCTTGGAGGCCTGTCACCGGGCGGGGCTCCCCCGGCCTGTCCTTCACTGAGGGTCTGCAGGCTCTCCGTACTGCACCCGGGGGCTTTCAAGGAAGAAATCAGAGCAATTACAGGGCTCACATCACAGTCCTGTCTCTCAGGTCACTACCTTTGGTGCCAGATGTCCTATGTCTTAAAATCTTGTTTCATATACTTTGTTCATGTTTTGTTTTATCTGGTTTTCGTTTGCTTGGTTGTTTTAAATCTATTCTCCGTTACCTCGTTTTAGGTGGAAGTGAAAGTTTTTGTTGTTTTTTTAGTTAAAGAAAAATTATAATGTGTTTGAAGACTTTTGGAAGTATGTAAGAGCAAGCAAGTTAAATGACCAGGTGAACTGCCGCCCACCCCTGGACCCAGCTGTTGGAGGCTGGAGCGTGTGCTGCTAGGCACACTCACGCATGGAAGGCTGGCTCCCCGTCTCCTGCTCCAACTCAGCCTCCTCCTCGAGGCAGGTGCGCGTGTTGTAAGGTCTGGGGCAGGAGGCGGAGCTCAGCAGGGCTGGGCTGGCAGATGCTTGCAGGCTCAGTGGCCCCAGGGCGGAGGACGACTGGCTGCCAGAGGAGGAGGTACTGCTGTCAGAGATGGTGGAGTGTGGCCTCTTAAAGGTGGCGGCGTGGTCACAGAGGGGCACAACCCTCGGTGCTCGGGTCCATGACTCTGGAAGGGGACAGAAAGGAGGTGGTTTGGCTCTTGCTCCCCAAGTGCAGCCAGATCCGAAAATGAAGTAGCCATCTGGGAAACTGACCACGTCCCTCCCACTGCAGTCACGTCAGGCATGATGTGGCCACCACCCGTCCAGCCTGCTCTGCTGGCTCTTGAGGCCCACAGTGAACACCAGGGCCTGAGTCTGAGTCAGTGGGACAGAGTGAGGGGTAGGGCTGAAGCCACGTTACCTGCTCCCTTCTTGACAGTCCGGTCACTTATGGCTGCCTTGCTGGGCTGGATGTCCATGAACGGTTTGTTGCCTATCCCCATTGACACCATTTCTTGCATTCTGAGTTCTAAAACAGAATAACGTAGGACAACTTTCCAAGCAACTGTTTGGCTTTAGTACCACTCCTGATGATGCTCTGTACCCAACACCGTCCATCCAGACCAGGAGCATGTCAGGGCCTGGCCCAGCACCCTCCTTGAGTGTTGCTGGGGGCCCAGAGGTGCTAGGGCTCCCGTTCCGGTACATGCATCTGGTCTGACCTCACGGTGGCCTTTCTCAGGGACCTCAAGGAGCAAACAAGGAAAAGAGGACATGGGGCTCAGGAACTGGGTGTCCAACCAGGGAGAGAAGGGAAGGGTCCCCTGTCAGCATGAAGGACAGTGAGCCACTCAACAAGCCCAGCCTGCAGGGGTCACATGGCTACAAGAAAGACAAACTGACAGATCTTTACATGTCTTTGAATACTGAGCACAGGGCACCTGGGTGGCTCAGATGGTTAAGCGTCTGCCTTCGGCTCAGGTCATGATCCCAGGGTCCTGGGATCGAGTCCCGCATCGGGCTCCCTGCTCCTTGGGAGCCTGTTTCTCCCTCTGCTTCTCTCTCTCTCTGTCTCTGTCTCTTGTGAATAAATAAATAAAATCTTTAAAAAAAAAATAAATGAATACTGAGCACAGGGTGAGGGTAACTCCTTGGTAAAACCAAGAGTACGAGTTACTCCTTGGTAAAACCAAGCAAAGAAAACCAAAGATGATGGTCATAGTTGGGGGGGCAGTTGGGAGGGAGGGGCAGGAACAGAGGAGACTGGGGAGGGCAATGGGGAACAGGCCAGGGGCACTTCCTGCTCCTCTTAAGGGCTGGGTCCACTCTAAGGGGACTGAGGAGCCAGCGGGTGTCTGAGCAAAGTTCCAGTGCACACGTATGCACACGTGTGCACGCGTATGCACATGCACGTGTGCGTGCGTGCGCATGTGTGCGTGGGGAGGCCTGCCCTCTGAAGGAAGCTGCTGTGGGGAGGCTGCACTGCATCTCTGAGGACAGGTCAAGACGCTGGCCAGGGTGGCAGCTGCCAAGGGGTCAGGTGGTCGTGTTTCGACCCTTGCACATTGGAGCCTGTTGGGTTTCTCAGGCTTGGGGAGTCAGAGCTGACAGAGGGTCAGCGTGGAGGGGCCGCTATGCAGACGGCATCTGTAGCAGCCAGACTGGATGAGATGCCATCCTGTGGGTGTGAACAGGAGGTGCCCCAGTGATGAAACTGGGGGTGGAGGGGAAGAGCAACCAAGGGGGCTGACTTCTAGGAGCAGGAAACCTAGGTGGGGTCCTGGCACATGGGGCATGGCGCCTGACAGAGGAGGGTCCTCACCTCTAGGGAGGTCACAGGCGGGCCGTCAGCCCAGCATCCAGGAGGGCAGGGAGCTTTGACCACAGGGTGATGCAGAAAGCAGTGGGCCTAAGGTGTCATGGAACATATTATGGCAACATCTCTGGGAACAGGTGTCTTGTTTACATGCAAGTAAAGGAGAAGTGTGTTTGTGTGCTGATGGACGTATCCATCCATTTCCACATGGATGGAGGGGGCTCTCCAAGGGCCACCTGCCCCAAACTGGCCCCAAACACCTACCCACGTCCAAGCCACTAACCCCTGGACTCAAACCCCTGCCTGAACCCGGTCCCCAACCCCTGACCCCACCCCCCTGCCCTGGACCCAGGCCCTAACCCCTGCTGGCCCCAAACCTCTACCCCAGGCCAACCCCCTAAACATAGAGCTGGCCCTGGGTGGCCCTCTTCTGCCCACCTCTGTTCCGCAGAGCCTGCCGCCACAGGATCTGCCCTATCATGTGGGTCCAGGCCGTCTTGACCTCTGCAGAGCTGGCCTGGAGAATGTAGGTGTCCTGGGACTTCTGCCGCCTGCGGAACCAGATCTCAAACCTCAAGCCGCTGTCTCCGACGTTCTCCGTCATCCCAATCTCTGCTGTCTGCACCATAAGCAAGTGGCAGCAGAGTCAGCAACCACCGATCCTCACTTGAGCAACTGACCTCTCTCTGGCTGGCCATCTGATCCCAGCACCTCAGTGCTGGAGTTCCTTCGTCCAGACACCAAATGGTGGGGAATGAACTCGGTTCCCACCCATGTGCACTGGCTCCATCTTGGAGCCTCAGTTTCCCCACTGGAGAAAGGGAGGCTGGACTGGAAGGTTCTGTGATGCCCTGGGGCTGTTGCCCTGGACGGGGCCACAGGACCCCTTCTGGTGTACCCCTCTGCATTAGCAGGTAAGGGGTTACAGGTGTGGGCTCCTCCTGGGAGCTCAGGAGCTCAGAACCTCCGTAGGGTGAGGGCCAAACTTGGAGACTGGCTCAGGGGAAGGCCACCTCCAGTGCTGGCCTTCACCAAAATCTGAGATGAAGTTACCAGTTGAGGAGACTCAATTTTCCAGCCACTGAACCAGTACACAGAACTATAAAGGACAAGTGTCTCCTTGCAGCATTTGAAGCTCAGACACAGAACCCCAGGAAACAACAAGTATCACATGCCCCTGCTCGTACCCAGCAGACCAGGACCTGACTCCCCGTGGCATCAGGTGTGAGGCAGATGTGTTACCTTGAAGGACTGTTTGTACGTGTAGATGTCATAGCCCCCATCCACCTTCCTGGTCTTGCTAAACAGGATGAGGTCTTCAAAGAGGAACACGTGCCTCAAGTACTTTTTCCTTCCACAGCACACGATAAACTCGTCCTGGCATCTCAACTGCCCCTGCTCCTTCAGATCCACCTGCAGATGGAGCAAGCCTCCTCAGGGACCCTTGGACCTGCCCTCACCCCATCCTGACCCCTGGGGAGAGGAGAGGGGCTGGAGGTGGAACTGCTCGCCAATGGCCAGTGACTCACTCAATGATGCCTGCATAAGGAAGCCTCCGAAAAACCCAAAGGACAGGGCTCAAGAGCTTCTGGGGTGAACGTGTGTGGTGCCCCAGGGAGGGCATGCCCCTCTCCACATACCTGGCCCTGGGCCTCTCTTCCATCTGCTTGTTCCTGAGTATCACCCCTTACAATAAACTGGTGGTGTCGTAAGTGAACTTTCTCTGGGTTCTGATTGTCACGACTGACGTGTGTAGTTTGTGTCGGGGGGCCGTCTGGTCGGACAGGGAGCCCTTCACCTGTGGGATCTTACCCTATGTCCAGGCGGATGGTACAGGATTGGGTTGAGTTATAGGACACCCAGCTGGTGAGAGAGAATTGCTCAGAGGTATGGGGAAAACCCACACACTGGAACTGGTGCAGAACCCTTAGGGCCAGGTAGGGCTCCTGCTTGTCTGCATGGAGGTTACAGCTCTTCAATTTTATTTAACTTTCCACTTGAAAGTCCTTGTGTTCATTTTAATGGAAGCCCCCTTGTTAATGTGGAGCTAGTCTCACTCATTACTGTATATAAACACCCAATGGGGCCAACAGGGAGTCAAGTATGAATTCTGCAGCTGAGCTGCTCCCTTACCCCCAGAAATCCCTCCAAGCTGCAGTCTGGGCTGAGGTCTACATGGGAGGATGTGGCCTGCATGTCCTGGCCAGGCTACAGCTCCCATTGTGGCGTGTACCCCAAACCACAGACACCACTGCTAAGTCTCTCTCATGACCTTCCAGCCCACGGACAGCCCTGTCCTGGGGGCTGTCTGAGAATGGCTGGTTCAATCCCAAATGACTTGGCTGGGCCTGCTGAATGGAGGGCTTCTGGGGGTGACCACACTTGGGGTGCCCTGAGTCCTCTACGGCTGTCCATGGAGAGCTATACTCCACGCCAGACTCCATCTCTGGTGCTGGCCACAGCCACGGGTCTGCCTTTTCTAGCTGATGCCAAAGGTCCCACCTTCAAGCCCAGGTGGGGTCAAAGGACAGGGTGTCAGCACATCTCCAGCCATGCCCACACAAAGGCCAGTTCACCTTGCAAGGCACCCAGTGTCGGTCGTGGGAGGACAATCCCTGTGGGGTGGTGGCCTGGGAGCCATGCCACATCATGGCGGCCAGAAGGGCTCATGCTCAGATTGCTGCTCATGAAACTCTTAACGCTGATTTTAGCAGAGCATGCACATTTCCATTTTGTACTGGGAATTCTATGGCTGTCCCTCCAGCTGTCAGAGACAAGGGGTTCTGCTGGAGAAAGGGCTCCTCTTCTGTCTATGCTGGTCCCGTCATGCCACCGTGTGGGGGGCATGCACGCCAGGCCTCGGCACCCCAGCAGAGAGCCAACGGTGGTCTGCCCCAAGCCTGACAGCCACACTCAAGTTTTCATGCATCCAGTTGTTTTAAAGTAGCCCCAATAAGCAGATGGTTAGCCACTCAGAGCCTGGCGCAGTTGCCTGGACATGAAGCCCCTCTCTGCTGTCCTCACCTGCTGGCCCCTCGGGAGGTCTCAAGCTTCAGGAGACTTCCCCAAAGGAAAGCTCATGCAGTCTGACCCCAGGCCTCATCTTTCCTGAACTCAGGAGAGCCCATCAGGGCCTCGGGGCACTTACGTCACAGCCTCGGACGGCATCCATTGCCAGCAGGTCATTGCCGTGACGCAGCTGGAAGCGGACCACGTCTTGGGCAGCCCGAAGCTCACCCAGCTCCTGCTCCCAGGCGGGGCAGCTGCTAGCCTCCCTGACCAGGTCCTGCAGCAGCAGCGCATACTTGCCCATGCGCTGTACGGGCTTCAGCAAGTAGGAGGCCAAGTCCATCTTGTCGCCCAGCTCCCGCTGCTTGTCCTGCAAGGGCCGGGGTGAGAGGGTCAGCCCGGGCCAGGAGGGGGGCAGCGCGGCTCGCAGGGTGGGGGGGTGACCTTGAAGAAGGCGTTGCCGTGGCTGCAGAGCAGGGCGTCCGACTGGGGCTTGTTCTTGCTGTAGAGTGCATACATGCCAAACTGTTCCTCCTGCAAAAGGGGAGGGCACCGTGCACCTGAGTTGGGGGCCCAGGTCAGAGTCTCTGCCTCTGCCCCCACCCTCTCTGTGCAGTCCCCCTGCAGGCATGAGACAAGGAGGCTCCACGCTGCATTAAGATCATCTGGGCTTCCCAGCACGTGGGGGCAACTCGGGCCGATGCCAGAGTTCTGGAATTGATCTTTACAGTACACGTTTGGGGGAAGAGAAAGAGGTCCGTCTGGGAAGGGGCATGGGGAGTGTTTGCTCACTAACAGTCAAGAACCAAAGTTGTGTCAACATTTAAAATTCTCACCATTGTTGTTAATATAAAGCAACACAGAGTTCACCCTATGGCTAAAAGCACCTTCTTAGAAATAGCTGGAAAGATGCAACATGGGATTTCTTTCCTCCTTGGGCATTTCTGTTGTGGTAATCTACATTTAATGATGCTGGGGCCAATGTCTCATCTTCCCACAGCCCAGATGCCATGCGTCCCCACTGCCTGGAACACTGCTTGGGAACTACTTGGTGAAAGCATTTTCTTTTCAGACTGAAATCAGAATTTTATTAAGACCCAGACAGGGAGATGTTCATATTCACAGCTGAGAAGACACTCATCAAGGAGAGAGCAGCCCTCCTTGAGTCAATGTGCACACTCCATGAGCCTCTGTCGAGACCCTGATGGGGCTGGCTGCAGGCGGGACTGTGAAGGGGACCAGGCGGGCTGGTGCAGGAAGCAAACTGACTTGGGGAGTTGCTTTGGGCAATTACCTCGAGTGGTAAGGAGAGGGATGTGTGTGTGACCATGCAGGTGAACCCCCAGTGTCATGTGGCTCTGGGGAGGTGGCACTGAGCCAAATGTCCAGTGTGATCAGACCCACAGGCTTCTTGTCTACTTTGGCGTCTGTTTGTTGACGGGTCTTATGTACTGTTAGGGACACGTTTCCTAGACCTGGTCTGCGGTGATCCAAATAACCTGACACGTGGCACTGCCAGACCCAGGGCACCCTGGGCTGATGTCACCTCTGCCTACCGCACGGGGCTCTGCCATGTGGACCCAGCACCTGGGAAGGAGGGACTCACGTGTCTCAGGAACCCGCGGCCCGCCGCCAAGGGACCGTGCTGGCAGTGCTCCAGCTCTACAAGGAAATGCTGGTGGTGGAAGTCGTAGAGCTTCTCCAGGTTCCCAAAAACAATGCTGCGCTTCCCTCGAAGGTCTTGGGGCAGGTCCGTTCTTTCCATTTCTGGAAAGTAGTTGTCGATGACATACCCTAAGGACCTAACATACTCCCTCTCCGTGGAAACCATCTCGGCCATTATGTGCTGCAGTCGGCTGCTGGGAGACAGAGAGGTGGGTGGACACTCAGGCCGGTGCAGCCCATGGCCTCACTCGGGGTCTCAGGAGACCCTCAGTCAGCGTTGTTCCTGCTTCACACAGAGACAAGATGCTCTGCAAGCCCAGAGGCATACACATGATTAGATGCGGGCAGGAGATGCACAGTAAACAAGAACTTTCTGATTAAGTGTTCTGTTCAGCAACGAATCCTGTCACGTGTGCTCCGTTACCTGAAGTTGCTCCTTTGATGTAAACGAGTAAGATGAGAAATATGGGGGAGGGATGCATATTAGAAAGAAACCGGTTGCATGAAACTTCTCTATACTATTGGTCACAGCCTTTTAGGATAAAAGATGCTTCCGGAAAGTAAAAAAGAGAGACTCCCAGGACCCCTAACTTCAACCCGGAGTCCTGAGGTCTCTCATCACCAGATGGCTTGATTCTGGCACCCTCTGCAGGGAGGGTTCTGGCAGTAGGAAGATTTCAACACTGCAAAGAAGGCTGTGCTGGGGATTTACAAAGAGATGGTTTCTGATGAGCACAGACTGCTAACCTATAGAAGGTACTTCTGAAAACTTAGCTTTATGTGGCCCAGACGTCTGACCCAGAGGAGAAGCAGCTGGAGCTGAAGAGGCAGAGCAGGGCCCAGGACAGAGCAGAGATGGGCAGCAGGGGGGCAGACACCCCTTCCCTGCCAGGCAGAGGGCTCCCTGGGCTCCTGCTGGTGTGACGTCCAAGCCTGGGACGTGTCTCTGCCGCACAAGGCCCCCCCAGGGGCACCAAGCAGAGCCTGACCTGCTAGTAATGAGGCACATCGCCCTTCCCGTTTGCACCACTCTGCCAGCAACGTTCCTAAATTACTCAATCTGGAGGATACTAATGGGGGCTCGTAGACTTTTTTCTGCCATTACTTGTATTTACTTGTTTGTTTGTTTTTTAAAACTGGAACACAATTAAAAGCAAGCAATGGTAGGAAATACACCTGTGGTCAGAAAGGCTGCTGAATGCATCCCAATTGCAGCTGGAGACCTTGTTCCTTTCTATACTCACGTAACGGACTTTACAAATACCTATGGTTTCTGTGGAGGCAGCACCTTCTGGCTAGTCGGGAGCCTGCAGCCCTCGTGGCTGGTACGGGTGGCCTGGAGGTCCCTCCAATAAATCCGAGGCCCCAGGACCCACAGCACCCCTCCTGTCCACATTTGCTGAAAACAGGCATCCTTAAATATTCAAAAACAAAACTACTGTGGTCTGGGGATTTGGAAATTGACACATGAGGACATAATGGCTAGAAATGTCTGGGGAAATGACTGCTGGCCAAGTGACAGGGACTCCCTCTGGACAACAGGCAGAAGGCCTGGGTTTTCATGGAAGACCGGGTTAGTCTGATGCTCTCTCCTCTGGACCCTGGCCTGAGGAGGATGTGCTCCCTCTCTGATGTGCTGTGGAGTCCTGCTACCACACCCTGGGTTGGTGGGTCCACGGCCTGTGAAAGGTGGAAGGGGGGACTTGTCTCCAGGGGCAAAGGCAGGACGGCTTCCCGAACCTTCTCCCTCCAGACCGAGGATGCCCACTGTGGAGGACTGGGGGCTCCTGGCAAGCAGAGGGCCCCCATCCCTGCAGTCTGTGCCTCTGAAACTTTCAAGATGAGCTCAGGGGAGTGGGAGAGTGGTTCTTCCTGGAGCCTTCCCAGGGATTCCAACTCCCGGGGAGACCCACACAGGTGCTCCCAAATGAAACCTTCCTGTTCCACCTAAAGTTTCGCCCTGAACAAGCTACACCGTAACCGCCTAGAACCTGAAACATAAAGGTATGTTTCAGGAGAGTATTTGGTGACCATCTCAGTTCAGAGATGGTCTCTGTATGAGGAGGAAATGTGTCCACCAACCAAATGAGCAAAGAAAACGAGGATGACGCCCCACCTGCAGCCCACCCCAGTCACTATAAAGATGGACTAACAGCCCAAGGGGCAGGCTGTGATACCAGGTGAGTGGACTACCTGTCATTAGGGTTGGGCACAGTTCCTGCCCACTTTTTAATCCTAACGGTTAATAAAATACATCTTTTTACACATATCTTCTTAAGGATTAAACAAATTCATAGGGACATCTCCATTCAGGCAATGGATAAACACATATACTTCTCACCTCAGTGCTGAGAGCCTTTTTTTAAAAGTAATTTTTAAGTAACTTCTTCATATTCCAGGTGTGATTTGCTTATTGTGATTTTCCATAAATGGGCCTCAAATGATGAGAGCTAGTTGTTCAACCATCAGAGCGGGTGAGCTAGGTGCCCACAAGCCACGAGAAAGGAAGCAGTTTTCAATGATCATGCTGAACACGGGGAGGAAAGTAACATCTTGTCTAAGATCAAATGCAAGTGTGTTGCCTGGACAGGACATGGTGGACCTGGAGGGGTGTTTGTGGATGTCCCACTCTGTGAAAGGCTTTGGGTCTCTGGCACCACACCGACTGCTAAGCCCAAAGGCTGGAGGGGGTGTCCACCTCACCTTCCTGCTTGTCTCCTCCTGTCCTCCTCAGAGGGGTGGGTCCTGGAGGGAGAGGACAGACTCCGGTTCCGAGTGACCAGGGCGCTCTCAGCATGTGGCTGTGGTGGGGGCTGCTTCTCGGAGGCCACGGTGCTGGTCACCTCTAGGCCCCTGATGAAGACCCCGGTGTGGCCTGGCCAGGGGGCATCCCTGGGGCCACTGTCAAGCCGTGCAATCTCAAAGCTTCGTGTTTTCCTCATAATTTTCTTCAGGGGATGTTTCCTGGGGTGGGTGGTGGGTGTCTGGATGGGCGTGGAGGAGCAGGTGGGGCTGTCATGTGGGGAAGGCACAGCCGGGGCCAGGGGCTCACCCTCCTGCCTGCTCAGAGAGGCTTGTCCAGGGAGGCCAGGCAGCAGTTGGGCCCGCTCCTCAGTGCAGCCCTCTGGGTCAGTGGGGGGGGTCCAGGATGGCTCATGGTGCCTCCTCTTGGCCGACTGGGCAAGCTCATGCTTCAGGGCTCTCTGGTCCAGAGGTGGGGTGCCAGGGTCTGGGCTAACCCCAGACAGGGCCTCTTGGAAGCAGAGGCGGGTCTGTGGGCTCTGCAGCCCTAAGGTGTGCCTCTGATGCGGTGGCCGCTGGCTGCCCAGGCCTGCCGCCACCACGCTGGCTCCCGGGAAGCCCTGCGCAGTCAGCTCTGTGGCCTTCCGGTGACAGGTCTCCAGATACTCAGTGACTGGCTCCGGGCCCAGGTACTCCAGGCACTCACTGCACTGCCGCATCCATCCATCCACCTGCGTGGCAAAGGAGGGAACTGGTCAGGGCAGTGGAGGACTGTCTCGGCCACCATGGCCTTGGCAGCCCCACCCAATCTCATGCACTTGATGAGCAGCTCAAGTAAACCTGCTCTGCAGGTACCCCAGATCAAGGACCAGGATGAGCTAGGTGACCAGAGCAAGAGGAAGACCCCTCCACCCACAGAGGCAGCTACCAGCCAGACTCGCCCCAAGGGCAGGCAAGATGAGTTTGCACCTGAGCCCGATGAGGTCTGAATCCTCCACGGCCCCCAAGAACAGCAGGTGGGGTTGTCCCAGGGCCATGGGATGCCAGGCTGGACAGACCATGAAATCAGTTAGTCCACACTTTGGCCTGGGGTGGGAGGCCATGACAGTGGGGCAGAAAGTTCATACCCCTACGCTGGCCTTCCCTGAACCCCTGGATCCCGTCAAGAGGAGCCGTGCTGCTGGGGGCTCTGGGGTGCTGGTGCGTTTGCAGGCCTGGGCTGGGCTGCAGCGACTGTCCTGGGGTCTCTGGCAACAAGTGGACTTTAACAGCAGAGCTGGTAAACACAGAAAAGTTCACGTATAAATTCCTCATACGGTGGCTGAGAGCCTGGGGCGCGGTGCCGGGGTGTGCTGGCCAGGGAGGCTGGGCTCACTCAGGCCTGCAGGGACAGTGCTCACTGAATGTCCATAGCACATGCAGATCCCCTGGAGGCGATTCCACTGGGTCTCTTAGCGCCTCGTAGAAGTCAGACAGGTGGGCCCATCAGGCCAGCGCTCCCTCCCTGCACTCAGCCTGGCTGGCCATGGTGCTCAGACACCTTTTGAAGGCCCAGATCGCTTCCTCTGTGCCTTGGGAGCTGTTCTCCACCAGCTGCAGCCTTTTCTAACAAGACTGCTGTAGCCCAAGGAACAAAGCACCAGCACAAGCCCGGTGCTTACTCTCCTTTTCTGTGTGTGTCTTCTGGTGTGGACACACCATCAGCCTGTCGTGGAAGGTCTAGAGCACCCACTGCTGCGACATGTTCTCAAGACAGAGCAGCTCCAAGAGGCCAGGGATTTCTCTCCTCTTTCAAACCACAAATTGATCTATGTAGGAAAGGAAGGCTTTATTTTTAAATGTGTGAAGGAGTCCGGTTCTATGATCGTGGGGGACAAAGGAAGCATCAGACACCACTTAGGGGCTGGCTCAGCTGGTTCCCACAGCCTGCACAGCTGTCCTGATGCAAACAAACTGCTCAGATGCACTGTAAGTGGCTACACAGCAATGAAAGCCCCACGGGCTGTTTTTACCTACGTGCCCCTCTCAGTCTGTGGATGGTTGAAGAGGGATGACCACAGGTCTCCACGGCCCAAGTGTGCAACTGGGCAGGCTGTTCGCAGGAAATGGAAATTAAGAACTTTCTGTTTTGAAACTTGTTACTATGCTAAATAGACCCCAGAAATATTCTTCGGGTGGTGGCACTAGGGTACTTGGGGGCAGTCTGGAAGAGCTGGAGGGGCTGATGGCGGTCCTGCCTGCCCCACACGGCTTCCCGTGGGGACATCACTCATTCACAGTGAACACGTCAGGGGTTAAGACTTCATTTTCATGCAAGTTCTCGTTGGATAGCAATGCCAGGGAGGCCTGGTTGTGAGGGGCCCAAGAAGAGGTTTTTAACAATGCAGTGATATCAGCGCTGGATCTACAGCCACAGAACCGTACTTAGTGACCCCCACACACAGGCAGAAGACAGAGAGCAGCGCACACACTCTGTGGACAGAGTCATAGAGAAAAATGTCAAATCTGGGTTTTTACAAACACCAGCAGCCTGAGAGCCTCTGGGTAGAAGAGTAGGAAACAGTCAACAGAGTGGGGACCTCTCAGGGGTGGAGTCCCACCTCTAACCTCATGAAAAAAGCTCCAGTTGGTTTCAAGATGTAAATGGAAAATCAAACCATAAAGGTCTTAGGACAGAATACAGTAGTCATTCTGTGACCTTAAGATAGGAAAGGTCATTTCAATCATAAGCAAAGTTGAAGGACAATGACAAACCAGACGGTCAGTGTGAGCAACATGCATAATAGTGAAACTTCTGAGCTGTGGAAGTTGGTCAGTGTGTGGAAAAGCCGTTTGTTAGAGAATAAATACAAAAAACCCACAGACAAACGAAGAAAAAGTTCAACTGTAGCATAAAAACTCCAAATGCAGTGATTTTCATGTCAGTGAGGAAGGGACGCTCTCAAGGCTGCTGCTGAGAATCTCAACTGGGCAGGCTGCTTGCAGGCCCATTCGGCAAATGTGTAAAAACCTCAGAAATGGCGAGCCCTAACCCAGCCATCCCAAGCCTAGGAACCTGTCCAAAGCAAACAATCACAAAGTGTGAAAGATGCAGGCGCAGTGATGTGTACGAGGGTGAGAAACAGGAGAGCCGGGGACTTGAGCCAGAACTGGAGGAACACAGGGAGGTGCAGGCCTCCACACACCACCGTGCTTGCTAGCCATCCTGGGGACCCAGCCTCGGGATGCCCTGCAGTGGCCATTCCCCCACCCTGCCTGCCCCAAGGGACACACAGTCCTGCAGAGAAGGCCTCCACACACTTCCGACCTTGCCCTACACTGACCGCGGCCTGTGCCTGGGCTCCTGCTTCCCAGTCACTTACATGGGAATAGCGGTTGATAAAAGCATAATGATTTAACTAGAAATATGTGCAAGCTTTTGAAAAGCTTTTATATGCATATGTATATGGAAAAAAGTCTGGATTATAATATACTGCAATAGTAGTAGTTACTTCAGGAGCAGAGTTTCAAAATGTTTTTCTCCTTTGGCTTCTCTGGAATACTTACTTGGCCTTGTCCCTCCTGGAGCGTCCTCCCTTCCCGTAGCCTCTCCAGCTCCTGCAGACACCTGTTGGAGGCGAGGACAAGCCGATGGACCTCTTCGTCCACTTGGTTGTACAGTCTGGAGGCGACCTCAATGGCATCCCTGGAAGAGAAAGTGTCAGAAAGCCCAATCCTGACCTCTAGTTGCTTAGGGGCAATCACCCGAGGAATATGCTGTCAGTGACAACCTTGTGAAAAAAGCACAACTACACTCTTTGCCTCCCTTCCATCTGACACGAACGGAAGGCTCCAAGGAGGACAAGCCTGGAGGTGCAGGCACCCCAGAGGTGGTAGGAAAAGTGAGCGTGTGGGCATGGCAGCCCAGGACAGAATTAGACAGAGACGCATTCGGCCGGGACCTCTGCTGAATCCCACTATGATGAGTTTTGCCTTCCACGTGAGCGTTCCAAGGAATCTGCTACTTTTTTTTTGGAAGATACAGATGTAGATAGGCTCCAGTCCAAAGTGTGCCCATCAGAAAGAACAGAGGTTTGGACCCCTGGGAGATGCTGCATGTGACCGAAATGGACATCACCCCTGGGATGGGCAGCCCCAGCGTGACACTCACCGGCAGTCTTGGCTGGTGCCAAGCTGCTCCCTCCTCAGCTGCGCCAGCACGGCACCACCCTCTAGCCGGAGGGCGACCAGCAGGGCGTCTTCCAGCACACAATTCATCGTTGCTTTATGCTTGCTGATTAAGTCTGTGACCTCCTGCGTGGAGTGGGAGAGGCATGCATAGAACCCTCCCCTCCATGGGGAGTGTTAGGTGTGACCTACACTCCTGTGCTTATCAGTCAAGCTGAGAGAAGGGCGCCATGGCCGAACCCACACTTGACACTTGATGCCGCAGGGAGGCAGTGGGGTCCTAGATGCTCTCACCCAAGAGATGGGTGCGATTAAGGAGAGGAGAAAGGAGGGAAGTTTGAAAGTTGGCAGCAGGAGGAAAGCCTGGCATTTGGACAGGGATGTGTGGACCTTGCCTGCATACCCCATAAACCCTGAGGTGTCTCCAGCCCCAGGTCTCTAGGCTGCTGATTTTCCTCCAGCCAGTCCACCTCTGTGTCCCAGCAGTAATTACTCAGGCCTCAGTGGCACATCAGCAAATGTAGTGATTGTGGTGGTATTTCTCTTCTGGGCATGGTGGGATTTTTTTTTTTTTTTTTTTTTTTTGGTCATGGGGAAGAAGTGGTCTTTTGGAAGTCCTTTGCTAATTGAAAGGAATTTACAAGTCAAAAAGGGTTTGGAAATTTCTGCTATGGATGATAGATTTGGCTAAACCTCTATGTTCCCACCTACCTACCTGTGAAACAAAATAAAATACAAGAGAACCTACCTGTACCGTGCTTAGAGTCCTGTGGGTATTCAGGGAGTGGAGTGAATTTTGTAGGACAACAATGGCATTCTCGCAATTTGTGGTGAAGGGCTCCAGCTTCTATCACGGTGGGAAAGGTAGGAGATGACAGATACACTGTTAGTATCCACAGAAGCGCTGGGGAGCAGCACCCTCCCTGCCCAGAGCTGGACTTCAGCAGCACTCCCAAGCCCGCCACACTGTGGCTCTCCAACAGCCTGGGAATGGCAGCTGTGATGGGCACGACATTCGGGGCAGGGACACCTGTTTCAGGTGTGAGTAAAAACATCTGCATGAGGAGAAGTCCCAGGAGACTGGCAGGTGCAGTGGCTTTACCTTACCCTACGGAAGCAGATCCAGTCACTGTGGCTGTAAGGAAAGGAGCCATCGAGGTCTGTGGTCAGCTGCGAGCTGTCAACAAGATTGTGCAAGGCCTTCAGGGAGCCGACCACCTCACACTGCCAAGGAGAAGCATTCACTGGTTACGGCCACAGATGCATCCATCAGGAAGACCACTGTGATGGCTCACTCCAGGGAGAACCACCACCGAGAGGGTGGAGAGAGAGGTTTAATCCAGTGACCCTGCCTTGCTGGTGGCATTAGTGGGCTGAATGTGGTTGGGTACAGAAATGAAGTTGGGGAGAAGTGAAAGGAAAAGGTAGCAAAGAGAAATTACAGAAAGTTTCCAAATAACACCAAAAAATGGAAAAACTGAAAAGGGAGAGAGGCAAGAAGATAGGGGAGGAAGGGAAGAAGAATAAATCAAGGATGTGCTACTCTGAGATGGCAGAGTTGGCCCTGCCCAGACAATTTGGGACGAGGTAGAACAACAGGCACCTGAAAGCTCCAGAGGGCAAACAAGGTCAGGCTCACTGAGGAGGGCCACTGGAACATGGATGAGGGGAGCAGCATGGGTTGAACTCCCCCTCTGCTTGGCTCTGGCCTGAAGGCAGGATGCCAACACGGGAGACTGGATTGACTGAGGCTCTGGTAGAAAACAGGCATCTTTCTGGCCTGAAGAACCAGAAAATAGAGCTGGGTTGGAATGTAGACATCGAGTCCCACGAGGGAGAAAGCCAGGGGAAAGGAGCTTCAGTGGTGTGTAAACTGTGCCCAGGACTCTGGCTGACCCTGAACCATGTATGCATGGGGAAGACTCTGGATAGCTAAAGGCAAAAAGAACTGAACTGGATGTACATAGGGGAGAGTTTTCAGTTTGAGTCCAACCAAGTTAAATGCATTTCAAAACAGTCCACTGTGGAGGTTTATAATAGAATCCAGAGTCAGCACGGTCAACGTTATTCAACAGAATATTCACATGTCCAGAATACAATCCCAAATTACTTGACACATGAAGAATCAGGAAAATGTGACTCATTCTCAAGGGAAATGACAGTCAACAGAGGTCAACCCAGAAAATACCTGGATGTTGTAATTATTAGACAAGGACTTTAAAGCAGTGGTCATAACTATGTTCAATGATGTAAAGGAAAAATGCTTGCAATTACTGAGAGAATAGGAGATCTTAACAGAGTCAGAGAAAATATATGTTTAAAACCACTGGGTGTTTTATAGTTGAAAAATATAACATCTGAAGTAAAAAATATCACTAGATAGGCTTAATAGCTGAATGGAGATGAATAGAGTATGGAGTTGGTAACTTTGAAGATAGAGCAATAGAAACAATCTGATCTGAAGAAGAGAGAGAAAATAAGTGGGAGAAAAATGATTCTCCAAGACCAATGGGGCAAGATCACTTGGGGAGGAGTTAAGATGACGAAGTAGTGGGACGACCTTATGCTTGCCTCATCCCTCGAACACAGCTAGGTAATTATCAAATAATTTTGAATACCCAGGATATGAATCTGAGGACTGAGAGAACAAACTGCACAACTAGCTGGAGGCCACATTGTGAAAGGTAGGAGGTGCAGAGACACGTGATTTGGGGGAGAAAAGAAATGTGAGCACTGCAGAGGAGACAGAACTCTGATTATGGAGAGAGGAGAGAAAGAAAGAGATAAAGCAGCACACAGGGAACTGCACAAGAAAAACACTTCCCCAAAACCAGTGACTGGGAAAATGAGAGGGGCTGATTATTGTAAGCTTTTATACGCAGTGGAACTGAAAGTCTGAAACTTTAGAAGTCTGCACCATTGCCAGGGTCGGGCCTGGTGGACATAGGGGTGCTCCTGTGGAGAAGGGGGCAGAGGCCCAGGACCACAGAGCACGATGCCCTGGGTCGCACTGGGAGAGACAGCCCCCCTTCTTGGAGTGCATTTGGGAGAGGCAGCACTGCCTCTCTAGGGACAAAAGAGCCTGGGCGCCATGGAGCTGCCCCATTCATTAGCGTAGGGCAGAAATGTCTGCTGAGGGCAGCTAACCCGGATGCCAGCTCTTTGCTACACTTGACCACAAAATCCAAGTTCCTGTGCGGTTGTGCAGCTGCTTTTCTGGGACAAAAGGCACCAGCCACGGTGGGGCGTGACCCTCCCCCAGAGTACCCACTTGGTTCTGCACCGGGCCAGGTGCCTAAAATTTGGGATTTTGAAACCCAGCCGCAAGCCTGAGATAAAACACGGGAGCACTGCGCTGCTGAGTGGGCACACAGCTCTGACACAGACAGGGTGAAGGCTGGAATCTGGTGGGAGCGTGGGACACAAGATGGGAGATTGTTTGCTCTTCCGTGAGGGTGTCCTGAACAGCAGGGGGTAGAAACTCCGCTCTCTGGAGAAGAGAGAGGGCTGACACTCTTTTTCACCCCTCCCATCAGCATGGACAGACTCAGCAAGCAGCACAGGGCACACGGTGGAGGCTTGAGCCGCTTACACCAAGCTCTGCTCCTTGGTGCTCTGCCTTTTTAACCCTGTGCAGGTGCCTTTTTAACTACAGCAAGTATAATTGAGAGCCAGAGTAGCAGCGGGCCTCTCCCCTAGAAGACCAGTACAGATCCCTTGCATGCACCAGGTCTTCTGATCAAAGTGCTGCAAAGCTTCAGCTCTAACGGAAACAGGACTAGGCACAGGCTTTCCTAATTCACAAAGGACAGAGGCCTAGACAAAATGTGAGATGGAGGAATTCATCCCAAAAGGAAGAATGAGAAGAGGTCACCGCTAGGGAACTAATCAAAATAGATACAAGTACTACGCCTGAACCAGAATTTAAAATGTCCATACTACCCAAAGCAATCTACACATTTAATGCAATCCCTATAAAAATACCACCAGCATTCTTCATAGATGTGGAACAACCATAAAATTTGTATGGAACCACAAAAGACCCCGAATAGCCAAAGCAACCTTGAAAAAGAGAAGCAAAGCTAGAGGCATCATAATTCTGAACTTCAAGTTATATTACAAAGCCATAGTAATCAAAACAGTATGGTACTGGCACAAAAATGGACACATGGGATCAATGGAACAGAACAGAAAACCCAGAAATGGACCCACAACTATAAGGTCAACTAATCTTCCAGAAAGCAGGAAAGAATATCTATTGGATAAAAGTCTCTTCAACGAATGGTGTTGGGAAAACTGGACAACAACATGCAAAAGAATGAAACTAGACCACTTCTTACACCATACACAAAAGTAAACTCAAAATGGATAAAAGACCTAAATGTGAGACCTGAAACCATAAAAATCCTAGACAAGAGCACAGGCAGTAACCTCTCTGACATCTGCCGTAACAACCTGTTTCTAGATATGTCTCCTGAAATAAGGGAAATAAAACCAAAAATAAATTTTTGGGACTTTATCAAAATAAAAAGCTTCTGCACAGTAAAGGAAACAACCAACAAAACTAAAAGGCAACTCACGGAGTAGGAAAAGATATTTGCAAATGACATCTCTGATTAAAGGGTTAGTATCCAAAATAAATAAAGAACTTAAAAAACTCAACACCCCAAAAAACAAATAATCCAGTTGAAAAACGGGTAGAAGTTACAAACAGACATTTTTTCAAAGAAGATATCCAGATGGCTAACAGACATAGGAAAAGATGCTCAACATTACCTATCATCAGGGAAATACAAATGAAAACCACAGTGAGGTATCACCTCACACCTGTCAGAACGGCTAAAATCAACAACACAAGAAACAACAGGTGTTGGCAAGGATGTGGAGAAAGGGGAACCCTCGTGCACTGTTGGTGGGAGAGCAGCCACTCTGGAGAACAGTATGGAGGTTCTTCAAATGGTTAAAAATACAACTACCCTACCACCTAGCAATTGCACTACTGGGTATTTACCCAAAGGATACAAAAGTACTAATTCAAAGGGATATATGCAACCTGATGTTTATAGCAGCATTATCAGTAATAGCCAAACTATGGAAAGAGGCCAAACGTCCACCAACTGATGAATGGATAAAGAAGATGTGGTACATATATACAATGGAATATTACTCAGCCATCAAAAAATATGAAATCCTGCCATTTGCAATGATGTGAATAGAGCTAGAGAGTTTATGCTAAGCAAAATAAATCAGAGAAAGACAAATATCACATGATTTCACTCACATGTGGAATTTAAGAAACAAAACAGATGAACATAGGGGAAGTGGGAAAAACAGAGAGAGGGAGCCAAACCATAAGAGACTCTTAACAACAGAGAACACATGGAGGGTTGATGGAGGGAGGTGGGTGGTGGATGGGCCAGATGGGGGATGGGTATTAAGAATGACACTTGTTATGATGAGCACTGGCTGTTGTATATGAGTGATGAATCACCGAATTCTACTCCTAAAACCAATATTGCACTGTATGTTAACTAACTAGAATTTAAATAAAAATTTGGAGAAAATAAAATTAGATTGTGGGAACAGTTGCACAATTCCATGCATATACTAAAAGTCATTGATGCGGTTTGATAAATGATTTGTATGGGACATCAATTATATCTCAGTAAAGTTGTTTTTGAAAAGAAAGAAAGAGAAAGAAAACTTCTAGACTATCACTTCCTGAAATTCCAAAAAGTAAAAGTGCAATAAAGAGTGAAAAACAAAAAAAGACCTATGGGGCAATATCAGTGTGTGTAATTGAAATCCTAGAACGAGGGACGAGAATGAGGCAGAAAAAAACACTTCAAGAAATAATGAATGAAAATTTCCTGAATTTAGTGATAGACATAATTTTAAAAATTCAAGTTCAGCCCAACCTAAAAGGATAAAGATGAAGAGAACCATGCCTAGTCACGTTATAGTCAATTTGCTGAAAAGAAAGAGAAAATTTTGGAAGTAACCAAAGGAAAATGACACATTTTCTATAGGTGAACAATTATTTGAATTACAACAAACTTTTCATCAGAAACTATGGAGGTAGAACCACCATTTGCAGTTAAAAAAAAGGGGGGGGGGAAGAAATTATGGAGGCCAGAAGACAACAGAATGACACCTTTAAAGTGCTGGAGAAACAAACAAAAACCTACTGTAAGCCAGAATTCTATATCTAGCAAAAAATCCTTCAAGAATGAAGGCAAAATAAAGAATTTTTAGATAAAAGAGAAAGAAGCAAGAAGAGGATTTGAGAAAGCAAATGAGGTGGAGAAGAAAAATTAGATTTTTAAAAGTTTTCTGATACTACCCTCTTTAGGGTCCTGCAAAAACTTAAGGGATCGGTGATGGGTTTTCAGGCTCTTATATGGATGCAGCCAGAATTCACATAAAGTTTTCGCTATGTTTTATCTCATCTACGTGTCCTAATATTTAATTTTATGCATCACCCAGAGTCATATCTAACCCTGAGGGTCTACAACCATTACCTGAATTGTTCTATCCTTGTCAGGCCTAAATCCTGATTCTTTATTCACCAACAACACAATACTATGAATTATGGGAGGAGATGTGTTCTGAAATAAGAAAGAAATACCAATTAGCTTTGTAATTTTTAACTTCACTGACTCAATAGAATTGTCTAACTTTGAGGGGTGCTACTTCTGCTTTGATATTGTTCCCAAGCACCTAGAATGCATAAAATGTAACGGTCTTTGTTCTAAATGGACATTATTTCACCTTATAAATTTTAATGTAATCAAGTTTATTGGTTATAATTTACATATATTAAAATTCATCCTTTAAAATATGGAATTCTCTAAATTTTGACAGAACTTATAGTCATGGAACCACCATCACAGTCAAGATATATACAACAGTTCAGCATCCCCCAATTTCCTCATGCTCCTTTGTCAAGCCCACCAGCCTCTGGCAACTACTGATCTATTTTCTCTGTCCATAAATTTGCCTTTTTCAGATATCATACACATGGACTTACCCAGTACCGGCTTCTTTCACTGAGCACAGTGCATTCATGATTTACCCATGCTGGGGGGGTTCCTAGATCATCCCTTTCTATTGCTGAGGAGAAGCATGCAGGCACTGCAACTCATTCACCCACTCACCAGCTAGAGGACATCTGGGTTGTTTCCAGTTTGTGGCAACCATCAACAAAGCCACTATAAACTCTATGCAGACGTAAGTTTTCATTTCTCTTGGGTAAATATCTAGCAGTAGGATTGCTAGGTCACATGGTAAGTGCATTCTAACGTCTGAAGAAACTGGAGTGGTTGTGCCATTTTGCATTTCCATGAGCAATACCAAGTCCTTGCTATCGTCAAGTTTTGTTGTGTTATCTCATTTTGGTTACAAGTTGTATTTCTCCAATGACTACTGATGTTGAACCTATGTTTATGTGCTTCTCTGCCATTCATAGATCTTTTTTTGGTCAAGTGTGTTCACATCTTTGCTGGTATTTCATTGGGTTGTTTGTCTTATTGCTGAGTTTTGGGATTTTGTATATTCCAGATACAGGTCCTTTGTCAGATCTGTGTTTTGCACCACATTTTCTCGCAACTCCTGGCTTGTTTTTTCATTTTACTGACAGTGGTTTTTGAGGGAAAGTTTTCAATTTTGATGAAGTCCACCTTGTCATGGTTTTCTTTTATAGATCATGATGTTGGTGTCATAGCTAAGGAATCTTTGTCTGACTAAGGTCATGAAGATTTTCTCCTGTCTCCTTCTGGTGGTTTTGCAGTCTTAGTTTGTGCATGCAGGTCTGGGACCCACTTGTAATTTTTGTATATAGTATGAGGTATGTGTGCCCTGTTGGGGTTCCAACCCTGTTGGTTTTGGGGGTTTTTTTGACATGTTTTATGACTTTAAACAAGCCTCCTTGATTTCTGTTTGCTAGAGTACATTGAGGCCAGATCATTCAGCAATGAAATTATTTTATTTACCTAGTGCTTGCTTCTTCACTCATATTTTCTAAAGCTTTACTTTTTAAGTTTCTTCTAGTGATAAACAGATTTTAGGCTTTTTGTAATCCCCAATGTTGATCCCCTATTTTGACTGGATAGGCCTCAGAAATAACTGGTACTTTATTTGTATTAATTGTATATATTTACATTTTTGTTATGTGGCTTCTTGTGGATGACCTTCCATAAATATTCATTTCATGAATAAGCCATAGAAAAACACATAGAAAAAACATTCTTGCTTTTTTATTTGAGTCATTTTCTATTTCTCTCACCCAGTTTAGGTAAAATTTTCAGTTATCATGAATTAAAACTACACAGTTTTGCAATGTTTTATATTTCTCATATATTCCTACTTGAGTGGTTTTTTTACTATTAGGATTTGTTGCTATTGCTAAGAAGATGGATGTTAATTTTCAGACGAGTGAGAACACAGTTTGTACCTTAGGATGAGTTGTCCACATCAGTGTGTAGAAGTTATGTGCTGTGGGTGGGGTAGGGATGAGTAATTCTTAGCATTTTCTTCCACCAAGAAATGAAAAAATAATTTCCTTTTTGAAATGGAAAGCTTCTTATCTGTACTTTAATAATTTAATAAATCTGAAGTATAGTCACTTGAGATAGTTACGAGAGTTCTACTTTTTGCCCTCTATGAAAAAATTTAACTACTTCTGCATATTCCTCAGAAATAAAACTGAAAATGGAAACATGACCCTTAAATTCAGCTTATTTCCACTCTTCTCACTGGGATTACAGATCCTGCTGTTGCCTGAGCCAAAGCCAGGGTGGTGGGAGGCCACCACCTGAAGGAGAAGCAGTGAGCCTCATGGCAGTCTGAACGCCAACATCCAGATGACGGAACAGAGTGGATTTCCTGAAGTTCCTTCGAAGATTCACTTGTGATAAAAACTTAAAGATGCAGCAGGTGTTTCTCCTGCTTCTGCTCTGGGAGAAGTGTGCGTAGAGAGGGACCATCTTACTCAGGGCTCATTCTACCGCTGCGGGACCCAGGTGGCACAGGACTTAAAGGAAGCCTGAAGAAACAGAAGTGCTGGGAAGGGGTGTTCTTACAAAGAAAAAAGGTACGTGGTTCTGGTCGACAGCTGAGGGGCTCTTGGGCCATATGTGGGGCCTGCCTGGGTCTCACACACAGTGGCCCGAGGGGTTGCTAAGCGTGTGCATCAACAAGGAGGGCTCAGTCATCTCTCTTGGAGGCCGGACACTTAATTTTCAAGTTTTTACTGGATGCCAAAGAAGCAGAAGCCACCACAGTCCTCTGGCTTCAGGAAATTCCTGCAAAGCACGCACACGTGCATCAGTGCCCTCCGGGTTGTATGAGCAAACAGGGTTATGGCAACATGCACACAGCACAGCACAGTGAGGGAGCCCACGGGCAGCTGCATGCGCCGTCTTCTTCCTGGTGCCCAAGTAACCTCCCACGAGGCCAGTGCCACCACGCTGGGCGTGTGTCAGGGAGTGGAGGTGGTGATACCCGTCCACGCCAGCCCCACTCTGGGCACCGGGCCTCACCGTGTGCCTGCCTGGGTGTCTGCCGACGTTCCTGCCCTGCAGTCTGCACCTCGCTACTCAGTCTGGGTCCCAGAGTGACAACGTGCTCCCAGAGTTCCTCGAGCCCCTTACTGGGAAAGGTCCCCAGCGAGCCTCCATGGGGCTCACAGGGCTCTGGCCACCCGCTGGCCTGGGAGGGTGTCGTCCTGGGTTCTGCAGCAAGTCACTGGGTTCCCTGCTTCCCCTGAAAACAAATTTCAAGCCCTCCTCATTCCAAAACTTCTCCAGGGCAGCAATGACAAAAGTGATTGGCATGAACACCATTTGCCAGGGGGGCAAAGGGTCTGAGGAGGCGGGAGCCCAGGGAGCCTGCAGATGGGGGTTGAGAAGCAGGACCGCTCCCCCAGAGGCCACCCCCAGGGCTGAAGGTGGAAGAAACTGGGAGGAGAGCAGAGCAGCAGGGAGGCCGAGGAGGAGGGATGCTCCTGCACGCGTGCTCTGTGGTGCGCAGCGCGGGCCCTGCGCTCTGGAGCATCTGGAGGTGCGGATGGAGTGGGCTGGCCGACTGGGCCACACACCCTCCTCGTGACGGTAAGCTGTTCCCAACGGGTACATGAAGCAGGCAGAATGGCTTCTAGGAATCTGGTCACAAGTTCTGGTTGCAGCTTCAGAATCATTTCAGCAACAGCAAGAGCATTTGGTTTTGAAGGCAGAAATAAAGAAAAATTGTTTTTCTCCCATGTTTTCACAAGTTGCTATTTATAGGGTGCTGAGATGACTGGTGTGAGGTGACCACATTAAACAGTTGCTCCTGAGGAATGTGCGTCTGGAACACAAACAAACCTCATCCTCCTGTCCACTGTGGATACTGGGACCAGGCCTCCACATTTAACACCTTCCTCCTGTGAATGCACAGGACTCTGAGGAAATCCTGAGGTCACCGATGCCACTGTCCTCCTTGGAGCAGAGCTTCCTTCAAAATCTGTTTGAAAAGCAGTCATCCCCCTACTTTCCCAGAAGGCTTCCAGTAACTTCCCAGTCTTTGCTGGTCTATAAAATTGCACGTGGTTAGGAAAAACCAGAATCGCAAAGGAATTTCGAAGCCCACACAGAATATGAGCATCAAACTGGATGACATCCTGGTTGCTGATTGTTGAGCCCAACAGCTGGTTGAGAGCAGGGAAATGAGCAATAAGGGATTCATGTGCCTCCGAGGTGGTTCGTGGAAACGGAGTTTTGGCACGTCAAACCTGTCAGTCCGTGTCAGAGGCGCTAACTCGGGCTTTGAAGGTATGTACCGTGAATGCTTCTGCTGAAAGCCCATTTCTCCCTCTGAAATGCAGACTTCACCACTGAGTTCGGCTCTGAGAGCCCACTCTTGCCGGGACGGCACATCTGGGTCGGCCCTTCCCCTCGGGAATCTGCACCTTCACCTCTGTGTCGGGCAGGAGCTGCACCCCTGCCAGGCACCCTGACCAGGGACGCCTACTCCTGCTGACCTGGCCCACTTCTGCCTGGCCTCCCCCAGCCCCGGCCCCACTCACAGCCTGCCTGCTGGGGGCTCTTCTCTCCTTTCCCCACACACTGTTCTCCAGCTTCTTGAGTGCATCCAGATGTGCCCCAACCTCCACCACTGAGTCCTTCCTTGAAAGAACTTGCATTTGGCGTCCCTAAACTTAGGAACCAGGATAGAACGGTGACCGGTGTCTGGCACCTTTAGCAGAGACCAAACAGAGGGAACAGGTTTTCACTGAGGGAGAAGGTGGGACCCCAGACTCCAGCACAGCACTTGACACATGAGGGGTCCCATATACACCCATCTGAGGGAACGTGAATGTTCTCAGGCTCCCACCTGGCCCTGGGTCCCTGGAGCATCCCAATGGTGACTTTCTCCCTGTTCCAGGGACTCCCCATTTCCCTCTTGATTTTACTCATGACCCCAAATCCAGGATCAGGTCTTCCTGGGGCGACTGCAAACCTTCCAGACAACCTCCCTTGACCTCGCCCCAGAGGTATGGTAGCTACCATACCTGCCCAAGGTACAGGCCCTCCTCCCCACAGCGTCCACACCTCTGTCCCTGACTGAGAAGGTGCGGCGTGCAGCCCTGCACGCTGATTTAGTCAGACGCTAGATAAGGACTGCTGTGGAGGGAAGGGGTCATGCCCATATGGGCTGGTCCTGGCTGACCCTGCCTTTAAGGTCTGCAGTGGCGACCCAGGAGATGGGCAGGAAGCTCCTTCCCGGCGACTGGGTCCGACCACGGGGGAGCACATTGTTGATGGATGCAGGAGCAGGCTCTTCTTCTGCTACTCTCCATGTCCACACTCAGGACCCTCACCTCATCCTGAGATTGATTCACAGTGGGGGTGAGTCCAGGCATGGCTGCCCTCAGCTGCTCCTGGGTCACGAGGAGCCCCGAGATGCTCGGTGTCCTGAGGACAGGAGTCACCCTGACTCACCTGCAGTGCTGCCAGAGCCTGGAAGAGAGCAGGGGCAGCTGGACCCTTGCGAGCATCCACCAGGATGACCAGCCCCAGCTCCCGCACCTCTTTCCTAGGGAGAGAGACAGACAGTGTTAACCACTGCAGGTAAGATCTCTTCCATGACAGGCTTCTTCGTCTCTCGGTGAGACGCACCCTTGCCCAGATGCCCTTGGCTCCACAAATTCTTGACACATATCAATCTTCTGCTTCCTGAGGGTTCGAGCTGCTTACCAGGTGCAGATAGGGCAGTTGGGTTCACTGTGGTGGATCAGTCCTGTCTGATGGCATCTCCAGGCAAAGGGCGCGGGCTGCATGCCTGCATTTGCTGCGGCTGCTTTCTCCCACACCGCCCATCACAGAGCAGAGGCCCTGGAGCTTTCTTGTGCTAGGTCGCTTGTTCAGGCTGTAATACCATGTGGAATTCTACTCCGATGGAGTGGACAAGAGCCAGACGTGGCCGGCTGATCTCAGGACTGCAGCTCCAGGCCAGTCATTGGGTTTACCACATTTCCAGAGCTAAAGTGGGACAGCAGAACATCCTCTAAAGGTGAAAATACTGTCAGGTGCTTGTCACGCCCCTGCATAAAAGCTCTGTCCCTACTGTGATCACGACTGTAAGCTTCAGTTCTAAATAGGACAGAACAATAAGCTAAGGCAGGGTGATGCATCCAATCCCACCTTCTGGGAGTGGCTCATACTCTACCTCAGCCACATGTGTGGGTGCTGTCTTGAACAGACACGCACGCTCACCCTGGCCCGCTTGCACAAAGCGGGGAGAGCCACATGTCGCACCAAAGCCACATCCTAGCCAAAAGGGCGAGTGTGCACCACAGTCAGGGTGTGTTCAATTTTGGGTGTGACTGCTAAGGAATGCTTCTGAAGGGGGGGGGTGGTGTGTCTCGGGGAAGCTAGAGTAGTAAGGGCAGAGTAGAGCATGGTGTTCTGGTGTCACAGCCGGACGCAGAAAAGGTGAGGCTGGGAGAACGCCCCGTCTCCCTCCCTCCCTCAGCTGCCCAGCTCTGCATCCATGGCTTCCTCTGCCACAGAAGCCGCTTTGTGACCTGTGTGTCTTGAAGCGCTGGAGTCCACGTGTCTGGGAGCAGTCCCGGGCAGTGCTTCAGGAGCTGGGCATGATGTTCCACTTCCTCCAAGCGTCCTGCGTCCCTCCTGGGCCCCAGTGACCTCCCTCTTCTGACACCCCCACTCCTGGTCTCTCTTCACCCCTGGTCTCCCGTGGTCTCCCTGAATTTGCGTCTCAAGGTCTGCTTCCGGCCTCAGAGGCAGGACCGGTCTCACTGCCACGCTAGCTGGTTCGGCATGGGAAATAACCCCTGGCAGCTCCAGACCCACACGTCCTCCTCCACTGATCTCATCCACTTGGTGGCTTTGCTGAAGGGGATGGCCACAAAGTGAACAACGCAGCCGCTCGCTGGGGGCTGGCTGCTTCCCAAGTTCAGAGACTGCTGGACCCTCCACTTGGGCTGGCTGCGAGGGATCCAATGACTCGAGTTCAGCTAGTATAGGATTAGATGGGAGAAAACGCCCTCAGGCCACCCAGCATGAACCGCCCCCACCACCCCCCGCCAGACCAAACTTGCTTCTCTCCGCCTGCCTCCTGTGGTGGATGGAGTTGGCTGGCTCCCCCTGTCAGGCTCCAGTGGGGCCCCTGGCAATGTGCAGATCTGCCCTAGACACCCTGCACCTGCATTTCTGCAGAAGTCTCACACCATGTCCCTGCGTCACCCTGGCTTCGCCACCGGAGGTTCACGTGGCCTTCAGGCCCGGGGCACCCACTGCCTGAACCGGGTCTTTAGTCCTCACTCCTGCCTCCTGACTCAGAAAGAGACTGGCTGCTCTGGGGCTCCATGTGTGCTCTTCCTTTCGCTCAGAATGTCCTTCCCTTCTTGTCTGCAAATACTCACCATCCTCAAGGACACAGACCACATCCGGAGATCCACCCCCGCCACCCCGGCCGAGGCTGCAGCTCCCTCCCAGCATTGTGGGCTTGTCTTATGCTGGAAGATGCAACAGTTTGGGTTCCCATGTGTGTCCCTTTGAGGGTGGGAGCCATCGCCTGTTCTTTTTGTACTCTCATGCAAGTGGTGGATGGATGGATGGATTCCTTCATTGCAGAGGAGGCTGGATGGATGACAGCCAAGATTCATTCTGATTTTAAGATTCTGTGTATGGGAGAGTTTGATGGGAGTCCATTTACAAGGCACGCTCCCAGGAACACATGGACCCCTGTAATACAGCTGCAGTAACCGAAAACCAGACATTGCTGGGCACTCTCCCTAGTAATTAATGCTGACACCTTGCGGACTTCATTCTGATAGCTGAAGGCCTGCGTCACATCCCACAAGGTAGGGGGAGATTTCAGTTCCTCAAGGTGCAATAATCAATCAGGATGCTAACAAAATTACAATGGTTGTGGGGAAACAATCAGCTAAACCAGAAGGCTCCACCATCAGTTACCCTAAGTGCTTTAGGGGTGATTTTCTCAACAGAGGCTTTCCACTGGAGCTTCCCAAGCTGGTGAAGATGCCTGCCCTGGGAGGGGAGTGGGGCTGTCTGAATTTTCTGTGGAAAAGGCAGACGGCTACAGATTCAGGGGCAAGTCTTGGCCCTGCCAGTCCCACAGGTACCCTAACTCATACTGTTGGTGTTTTGTTGTGGAATGGAGAGGACAGCACTCAGCCTGACAGGTCAGCCAGGCTGAGTACGCAGAAGGGTATAAACTCCAAAAACTACAGAAGGTTTTGTCCTTGTCAATCAGGATTGCTCTCCATTACTGCCCTGAGTTAATTCTGGAGGCTCCCATAAAAGAAAGCTTTTGGCAAATAGAAAATGCCATTATCTTAGTGCTATGGTGTTTACTTGAGTCTTACAAAGTATAAGCTAATGCGAGGATGAATCTGTATTTTTTTTTCAGGGTATTTCTTTATATTTTGAAATCTGTGCTGAAAGATAAGTTTGAAATCCCAGGCTCACCCAAAGGCAGTTAAAACCAGTGCCCTCAGATAATTGGAAATCTTGCTCCGGGAAAGGGACGTCAGGGAGCATTCTTTCTTTTCCTGCCTAATTGTTCCCACACTGAATCTACTTCTGCTATTTCAGAAGAAATTCCAACAGAAAGTTCATGCATCATAGAGAGCATGAGGCATCACGTAACATGTTGCCACGTGAGCTCATATCACATGACGTGCATCTTGTCACTAAGTGAGAGAACATCACGGGATGTACCACGAAGATGATGCTCTGGACTTTAGTCTACGGACTTTACACAGATTATTTCTAATCCCTCTGACACACCTTCCAGACAGCTGCTACAATTCCAGGTTATGGGGAGGACACGGGCTTACGGAGGTACACCATCTACCCGCCAGTAAGGGCACAGCTGGGATCTGGAGCCAGGCTGTCTGACTTTGGAACCGAGCTCGGCAGCTGGGCAACGCTCCCTCCCCTAGGGGCTGTCTCCACCCAAAGCCTCAGGGACTCTTGGTCTGGTGGCCATACGGGCCGTCCAAAGCATGCCTGCATCTGATGGGATCAAGTAGTATGAAATAACACTTTAACCGTCCTTGACTCCTGCTCTCCTGTTTCTGTCCTCGGTCCATGAGGAGATCTGAAGCCATGCCCTGGTACACACCTGCTCCACACCTTGTCATCATGCAGGATCCAGGTGGTGTGGCTTCCTGGAATTCCATGTCAGAGAGGATAGGTCTCTCTTAAGGAGCTGGCATGCCTTCTTCCTGGCACGCAGCATTGCCGAGCTGAACGTAAGGCTCACTTATGTAACATAAGACTGAATCAGTCTTCGCGGCTTCTGGGTACCAGGTACTACTCATTTGTATGAGTTCTTGACCCACTTATTCTAAATATTCTGTTTATATCAGTTAGGTCTTTATCCCAGAAAGAGGTGGAGTATAAAAGATACACATATATAATGCTTAGAGCATTAACCAATGCAGAGCAACACAAAACTCAAGGTAGAGTATGTGTCAGAGCCTTGATTCGGTGGGGAGAGGTCAGGGTGAGCAGGAGGAGAGGAATGCATGCAGGACAGCTGACGGACGTGGAAAAGACAGCAGGAGCCTGAGGGGCAGGTGGGAGCCTGCTGCCCATGCCACCGGGGGACCCCGAGGTTGCAGACAGAGACCCTCGCACAAGACACAAGCTTGTACAGGTTTATCCCCAAAGGTCTGGAAGGTAGGAACCTGGCTCTGTCCCACCTGGGAATGCCGTAGAGGTACTGCAACAGTTGGGTCAGCTCGATGCTGGAGGTATGTTTGCTGGACCAGAGCGGGCCCCTCGTGCAGACCTGCACCACTGCTCTTCCCTGGTGGTCTCGGGTCCCTGAAGAAACAGAGGGCATGGTGAGGGGGCAGCCCCAGTGGGGACATGCACGGCTTCAAGCTTGAGAAATACTGAGCTAGGGTCCGCAAACTGTTGAGGTGTTTGCTTAGATGTGAGATCTGCCAGGAGAGGAGGGGCTTGTCCTCACCTGGGCAGGAGAGCTATGCTCAGCTACAAGGGCAATGGCACTGCTGTGGCCTGAATGTTTGTGCTCCCCCCAAATCCTTACGTTGAAACCTAATCCCCAGTGTGGGGATACTAGGAGGTGGGCCTTTGGGAGGTGCTTACGTTATGAGGGTGGAGCCCCATGAATGGGATTCATGGCTCTTACAAAAGACCCCACATGGCTCCCTCACTCTTTCCACCACGTGAGGATGCAGTGAAAAGGTGTCAACTATGAACCAGGAAGAGGGGCCCTCACTGGAACCTGACTGTACTGGCACCTTGATCTTGGACTACCAGCTTCTGGAACAGAGAAATACATGTCTGTTGTCTAGAAGGTATCCAGTCCCTGGTATTTTGTTATACCTGCCCAGAGTAAGACGGCCATGCTCACCTGGGAGGGTGATGACCCCGGACTGCAGGAGCTCCTGGCTGACCTCCAGCACCTGCCTGGGCATCTGATTGGGCATGTCTCCTGTGCTGGGTGGCTGTCCTCCTCCCTCGGGGCACAGTGGCTCAGCAAGCACATCTGGAATCTGGCCTGGATCATGCCTTCGGAAGGTGCTGCTGTCTGTGTCTACACCAGCTAGACAAGAGAAAGAGACCTGGTCAAAGGTGAAGGGTTTCTCTGGTTTGAAGGCAGCTACTCAGCTTGCCCACACACAAGGAGAAAATCATGAGTGAAAATACTGGGTCCCATGAGAACTTGTCCCATTTCTGGTGGAAAACATCAGCGTGTCACACCTGCCCTGACAGGTGCATTCCTGAGCAGCATGAATAAACACAGAAAAACGGAAAAATTCCAGTTGCACCAAGAGTGCTCACTACTTAAACACCCTTCAGGAAGAAAATTTTTATACTGAATAATGTCATCCTAATTTATTTTCTCATACAGATTTCCCAAAGAGTGTCACAAAAATATATCCACAAGAGGTGAGAGCACCCTGAGGACAGGCAGCATCATAGTTGGGCATGCCTCCCCCTCCTGCATCACCCAGAGAAGGGGGACCAGGCTCCCCTGCATCACCCGAGAGGGGGCTCCTGGACCTCCTGCATCACCCAGAGAGGGGGAAGTGGGCTCTCCTGCATCACCCATAGAAGGGGGACCTGGACCTCCTGCATCACCCAGAGAAGGGGGACCTGGACCTCCTGCATCACCCAGAGAGGGGAAGTGGGCTCTCCTGCATCACCCAGAGAAGGGGAACCTGGACCTCCTGCATCACCCAGAGAGGGGGAAGTGGGCTCTCCTGCATCACCCAGAGACGGGGGACCTGGACCTCCTGCATCACCCAGAGAGGGGGAAGCGGGCTCTCCTGCATCACCCAGAGAGGGGGGACCTGGACTTCCTGCATCACCCAGAGAGGGGGAAGTGGGCTCTCCTGCATCACCCAGAGAAGGGGGACCTGGACCTCCTGCATCACCCAGAGAGGGGGAACCTGGACTTCCTGCATCACCCAGAGAAGGGGGACCTGGATCTCCTGTATCACCCTGAAGGGGAGGGCTCATGTTCATGCACCAGCTTGGAGGAGACAGCAGTGGCTGAGGCTTGTGGGCTTGCTCCTCAGCCCTGTCTTCTACACTGCACTTGACAGGGGATGAACCATACCACAGACAGAGCAAGCCGATTCAACCCCCAGCCTTGCAACCCCCAGGGCCTGTGTTGCCCCACTGAGGGGAGAGATGGTCTTTGCCAGAGCTAGTTGGCACCTAAGACCCTGTGGGGCACCCTAAACCAATCCAGACTTTGCTTTCCTGTCCCTTAGTCTCTTCCTGAACTTCTTACAGTGCTAATGTCTTACAACTCTCTTAACAGCTCTCATTCTAGCTAGACCAGAAAAACCCACAGCATTCTTTATATATATATATTTTAAAAAAACAACTTTGCGGTGCCTCAGTCAGTTAAGCATCTGACTCTTGATCTCAGCTCAGATCTAGATCTCAGGGTCATGAGTTCAAGTCCCACTTTGGGCTCCACATTAGGTGTGGAGCCTACTTTTAATTTAAAAAATAAAATAAAACAACTTTATTAGGTATATTTTATGTATAATAAAACTCACTCATTTCAAGTGTATAATTAAGAGGATTTTAGCAACTTTACCAAGCGGTACAACCATCACCATAGGTCAGTTTTAGAACATTTCTATCCCTCCAGAAAGACCCCTCCTACCCTTGGCAACCACCTGTGTGCTTTCTGTCCTGGATCATTCATATAAATGGAATCAGACACTATGGGGTCTCTTGTGTCTGACTTCTTTTGCTCAGCACAGCTGCTTTTGAGATTCACCCCTGACTTCTCCTGCGACAGAGTGTCATTCCTTCCATGGGTCTCACTCCACTGTGTGGTGGACCACATTTTGTCTGTCCCTTTACCAGCTGATTGGTTACAACTGCATAGTATCCTTGAGAATGAATTTTTCATGTATGTTCAAATATTTTCTAGAATACGTCAGCACCATTGGTAAAATTTTGGGGTTCCCAAGTGTTCTAATGTTTTAATTCTACACTGACCTCAAGCTTCCTCACATGTATGGGGGGAGCAAACAACACATTCATGTGCTCTTTTCTTATTAGAAGTTTTCCTAGTTGAGGAGGTCATTCATGTGGGCTTTTCCTGAATTCAGCTTGCAGACTGTGGGACAGTGAAAGGAGAGGTCTGAGGTCCTGGGGCCTATGGTATTAAAATGGCTAGGAATAAAAGCAGTACCCTCATGTGGCTAATCAAGAAACAGGTGCTCATTTGCCACTGGCTGAATATGATCTTCTTGAAATAAACTGAAATGTCACATTTAGTGTTTTGAAATTAGGTTGATTTTACATTCAAAGAAGAGAAAAAACAAAGTCTCAGGAGCTGGAGCAAACTGGAACAGAGGAAAGCAAGTTCGAACAGAAAAGAAGGAGCTGGAACAGAGGAGAACCAGACGGAACAGGAGGAGTAGCTGGAACAGAGGAGAACCAGGTAGAACAGGAGGAGTAGCTGGAACAGAGGAGGAGTAGCTGGAACAGAGGAGGAGCACCTGGAACAGAGGAGAACCAGACGGAACAGGAGGAGTAGCTGGAACAGAGAAGGAGCACCTGGAACAGAGGAGAACCAGACAGAACAGCAGCATCTGGAACAGAGGAAGAGCAGCTGGAACAGGAGGAGTAGCTGGAACAGAGTAGAACCAGGTAGAACAGGAGTGGCAGCTGGAACAGAGGAGGAGCACCTGGAATAGAGGAGAACCAGACAGAACAGGAGCATCTGGAACAGAGGAAGAGCGCCTGGGACAGGAGAAGTAGCTGGAACAGAGGAGGAGCACCTGGAACAGAGGAGAACCAGGTAGAACAGGAGGAGTAGCTGGAACAGAGGAGCACCTGGAACAGAGGAGAACCAGGTAGAACAGGAGGAGTACCTGGAACAGAGGAGCACCTGGAACAGAGGAGAACCAGACAGAACAGCAGCATCTGGAACAGAGGAAGAGCGCCTGGGACAGGAGGAGTAGCTGGAACAGAGGAGGAGCACCTGGAACAGAGGAGAACCAGGTAGAACAGGAGGAGTAGCTGGAACAGAGGAGAACCAGACAGAACAGCAGCATCTGGAACAGAGGAAGAGTGGCTGGAATAGAGGAGCACCTGGAACAGGAGAGGAGAACCAGGTAGAACAGGAGTGGCAGCTGCAACAGAGAAACAATGTCTGTGCTGTGGACGAGTGAGCGTACTGTTACTTGTTCAACTTAGGTCTCAGCAGGATGTTCCAGCTGAGGCATTTTCCTATGGTGATGAGGACATGAGTTCTAGGGCCACACCACAAACGGCACTGCAGGGACAAGTGTGTGTCCAGGCAGCAAGGATGGAGGAGAATGCCTGTACTCACAAGTCACTGGCTACTCACTGGGTGACCAATCATCGAGGCCCTTCAGCCCAGGCCTTGGTGTCACCACCCAGCTTCTCGTGGGTGGAAGCAGTGTCCTCTCATCCACAGGCTCTGTCCTTCTTCCACGGCTAATCCACAGGAGGGGACAGGTGGAGGAAGGGAAAGAGTGCTCTCAGGAGGGAACTCCCCACTTCAGGCGAGGGAGACGAGCCTTCTCTCCCCACCAGCCCTCAGTGCTAACGCATGCGTAGTCTCTGGAGCTGAGTAGGCAGAGCCCACTGGGGACCCCAGAGAAAAGGCTGCTTGAGAACACCACGTCTCGGACAAGACTGGCATCCACAGGGGGTGCTCCGTGACACCCAGGGAGCCAGCGGGCCAAACCTGGCTTCCACTTGGCAATACTGGTTTGTATGAGCCAAACCCACTGCCTCTATGACTGCCAGGGATCCTGCGTGCAGTCGAACGTATGTGTCCCATGCCGCCACCCTGCCCAGGGACGCCGTGCCTGAATGTCCATGGACGGCATCCATGGACATGTAGTCCATGTAGTCCATGGACTACAGGTAGCACTTCTCTGTAGAGACACGAACTTAAGGCTGTCCCCTCGCTGAGATGAGCTGCACACAGGAGTTTTCACATCCAGCGTGTGTGGGACTGTGGTTTAGGCCCGGAAACAATGTTCAGGGAGTTGTGGCTGTGTTTTAATTTTAACTGAACTGCAGGGAGGCAGTAGAAGGTTCTTAAAAAGTGCTGACCCTAAGCCAATAATTTTATTATAAAACTTTTTGTGGTAAGTCGGTGTGTGCTCTATGCTGTACGGACCCTGTCAGAATTTCAGACAGGAGCAGGCACCCTCATTTCAGAAGCAGCAGGCCCATCCAGAGGTGTGAGCAAGTCCCTCCTTGGGCCAGGTGGGCGGGCCAGATGTTGCCCAGGTGAGGAAGCCACAGTTTCTTCACTGTGTCGGATGCTGGGGCTAGCCTGCCTTCGGAGGGTTCCGGTTCTTCACTACCTCCAAAATCCCTGCTTTTGTTCTTCACAGAACATTTCTTTATTCAAAAATGGGAAATATTTGACCTAAGAAATATGCTGTCATTCCTTCCTTTTCATTCTTGATATCCTGCAAACACTCTTCAAACAATCATGTTTTCCCTCCTGAGCAATATGGAAGACACTTCCAGTAGGTAGGAAATAGTTCAGCACGTTTTGCAGGCTGTTGAGGTGTAACTCAGGCGCTGGTGTTACTAACCATGAGCATAGCATCCAACTTACCCATAGGAAAGGAGTATTAATGCAATGTGGCGAGGTGAGTGGTGACCCCAAAAGGACAGGTCTACCCAGAACCTGTGAATATCACCTTACTTGGAAAAGGGTCTTTGCAGATGTGAATACTGAAGTGTACGGTGGACGCTGAATCCAAAGATAGGTGTTCTTGTAAGAGAAAGGAAGGGAAGGTTCGACACACAGAGAGACATGGGGAGAAGATGTTTGGACAGGGGGGGCCCCGTGCAGCTGGAAGGACCCTCCCCTAGAGCTTCTGAAGAACAGCCCTGCCAATGTCTTGATGTCATACTCCTAGGTCATACTGGCCCCAGAACCAACGGGACAAATGTCTGAAGTCACCCTGTCTGTGGTATTTGCTGTGGCAGTCATAGGAATGGAGTACGTGTGACCATTATTTTCAACAGTCGATACGGATGTGGACAGAGGCTTCTCCTGGGTCTACTGACCAGAGGAAAGACACAGCGTGGCAAGGAAGAAGGGAGGAGGGGAAGGAGTGGGGGAGGGCATGGGGACAGGGTTGGGGAGGAGCAGGAAGGGTCGGGGCGGGACATTACCTGGACTCTCCGCTGTGGTGCAGGGGGCGCAGCTGGAGGCTGCACTTCTGGTCCCCTCAGCTTGTCCTCCTAAGAGGCCTCCCAGACTGGTGCTGACTGAGTGGTGGGAGGCCTGCCGGGTGTCACCTTGCCAGCTCCTGAGGGACCTGTCCCAGGACCGAGACCTCTGGGGAAGAGCGCTCCTTGTGGCTCCCGGACGTCTTTCCTGACTTGGGATCTCTACGGAGCCTACCCAGGGGCTGGGCCTTTCCTTCTGGGTTCGGCTGGCTGCTGCCCTGGCCGCCGTGGTCTGGGAGCTGCAGGCCTCATCCCCAAGAGACTCTTCGGAACTGGAGCCCAGGGGCATGGGGTTCCGCAGGGCCTCCATGTAGGACTTCCTGAACCAACGTCTGGCCTCCATGCTGGCTGAGTCCCTGGGCAACCGCCTTCTGGAGCTTGGACTGCCCATGTCCTCACAGACAGTGAGGGCCTGGGGGCTGTCCCTTTTGTCTGTGGCATCCAGGCTCCCTCTTGGTCCTTCCCGTGGGCCCAGCTCTGAGGGCCCAACCCCTACAAGGCCTCCGTCGGAGCTCCCAAAGGGGCTCCTAGGGCCTTCCCACCCAGCTCTTCCTGGGGAAGGTGGGTGGCTAGGCTGGTCACTGCCAGGATGCCTAGGGCAGTGGGGCAGGGTTGGGGTGTTGCTGGAAGGGGTGGTCTCCTGGGGACGGGTGTTGGCCACAGCTGGTGCTGGGGTCAGAGCTTTGGAGGTGCTTCTGGGGGGTGGCTGCTCAGGCCCAGGACAGCTGCAGTGGGGCAGGACAGTTCTGAATGTCGGTACAAAGATGGGGTCTGTGACACTGCTCCATGGGATGCGGAAGACCGCAGAGCCTGAGGTCAGCAAGCAGTTTTGCAAGGGGACACTGTTCCGCTCCCCGTTCAGCCATTCCAGAAACTCTCCCGTGAAGACGCAGCTGTACATGGCCTCAGGGACAGTGACTTCTTCTGAGCCTCGTCCACTCTGGGAGAGGCATTTTAAAACCAGTCTGGCTGACTGCTTCCCCACTGATGTGACCTGCAGGTAGAAGTCCCCAGGCCTGAGCCGGACTCCACGGAGGGACGCCAACTGCACCACCACCTTCTCATCGATGCACAGTGGCCAACCTTCATGGAAGAAGATGAGGCCTGTGTACCTGGCCTGGGACGAGAGAGGGAGAGAAGGAGATGAGACCTTTGTGGTAGTTCCTCATGGGAGGCCTGGGGGAGGTGGGCAACAGGACAGGAGGGAGGAATCCATGGAAGGAGCTGTCCAGGCAGTCCCACCACAGGCAGCCTGGGGGCTCTGGGGAGAGTCTCTCCTAGGAACTGTCCCCACCTGGGGAAGGGGCTGGGCCTTCACACTCTCTCCACACCAGCCCTTAGTCTAAGCTCCATGGCACTTCTGGTTTTCCCAGGTGCCCACAGGCAGCCCCCCAAGAGGAGGGCTACTTCTGGAATTGCAGGGTCAGGGGGCACCACGAGAGGATGGTGGGATCTGTCTGGACACTAACAATATCGGCTACAGGCTCCCACCCAATGCAATGGGGTCCTTCTACTAATGTGGAGGGGCCCATGAAGTCTGCAACTCAGCTGTAGATTATGTGGGGGAGTTGTGAAGCACATCTTTGAAAAGAACCTGCTGTAGAAAAGGTTTAGAGTGCAGGACGGCTAAGACACAGGCAAGCACAAGCAGCATCTGGCATGGGTATGAGAATGTCCAGCAGTTTGAGGAACAAGAGGTGGGACCCCCGACATGTCAGAAGCAGCAGTTGCAGATCCTAACATGGGACCACGTTCTACCGTACCAGTTCAGTTACCATATACCTTGCTTCTCCCCACTCTAGTACTGACTTATTGCACAAACATTCTTATAGTGATAGAGGAAATGAAAAAGAACCTCATTCTGATACATCTCAAGAGCTGTGACTTTTGTTTCCCTTATCCATGCAAGATAGACTGCTCTAACCCACAGTAACGATGTAGACACAACTTGGGTGTTCAGCCAGCATTTCCCCAGGTTCCTCTCTCATACTTGCTGTCCTGGTGGTGACTTGCCTGTCCTCTGTGGTCAGAGACCTATCGTGCTTCTATCTCTTTCTATTATAAACAGTAGATGCAAGCAATGTTTCACTTTCTTTTGTTACCATTTCTTTTTCCTTTAAGTTATTGTTTTAGGAAACATTCCTGGGATTAGGTTTAAGGATAAAAGATCATGAACGTCTTCCATGATTCTTGGCAAAATGACAAATCTGCCATCAAAAGACACATTGTCAGCAGTGATGAGTCACTGTGACAGTTTTGCCAGGATTCAGTGGCATGAGGCTTTACACTGAGGAATCTTATTCTAAATTTATATATATATATACACACACATACTGTGGAACACTGCTGTTTTAATTCGCACCTATGTGTTCATGAAGCCAACCCCTTTTTCGATATTTGTTTCTTTTCTGTAGAATTTCTGTATTTTTGTTCCTTTTATGAACTGTGGCCTTGTTCTTGTCTTCTTAGTGCTGTGAGGTTTTTAAAAAATTGAACAAGACAATAATTTTTGCCCTCACCATTAGCAAATGTTTGTCTGTGTTATGTATCTACTAGCTGTTGTTTGTCCCAGTTTACTTGCTTTTTAGTTATGTTCCTTTCCTCTCTTAAATTTCAAACAAGTTGAATTTCTTGACTTTTTTTGTGGTATCTTTTCTCTCCTTAAAACTTAGAGTTTAAAATCTTACTGAAGGTTGTCTTTTGTGTTTATTTTATATTAGTTTTCCTCAGAGTTGAGGTCTAGAAAATACTTAATGTTTTCATACATCTGGATTTGGAAATTGTACCTTAAATACACTGGTATGTTCCTAAGAGCCAAGGCCTCATTAATGGGGTTCCCGCCATGCGCTCGCCCTGGGCCACAGAAAGGGGGCACCGTCCAGCCTTCCAGGAGCCCGCAGCCTGGGTTGGGGGTAGGGTCTGGCACAAATGAAGCTAGTATTTACTGGGCACCTGCGGCCATGCTTAATTAAAAATTAAGATTTTCAAATTGGAAAAATAATACCTGGGCACTGCAAAACCTGGAGGATTCAGAAAGAAAGAAAATAATAATCCCAACACCAACCCCCAGAAGTTAGCATTGTTAACATTTATGTGTGTTTCATTTCATTTTTTTTCCAGTGTATTTCTAATGGTTGAGATCCCAACACAAAAATACAACAGCATTTTCTGTGCTATGAGAAACTCTTCACACAGACCATTGTTAGAAACACCCCCCCAATTTTGCTCTAATTAAAATACCAACCCCATCATTGGGCCTGGAGCTCCACCTGGGTGTCAGATGCTTTTGCAGAATCTGAGGCCATGGAAGTTGAAGGGTGTGGCCATGTGGGGCCCCGTGAAGCCCCATGGGGGCACTCAGGTGTGGCCAGTGTCCTTGCTGTGTGGTGAGCGCCCGCCCCACACTGGACATAAAGATCCAGGAATCGTCCAGCCCTGTGGTCAGCAGCAATGAGAATCCCAAGGGCCACCAGGGAGAGAAGTTCAACCTGAGCTGTGGCCTAAAGGTGTGCAGGGGGGTCGGTAGTGCGAGCCCCAGGAATGAACTTCATGACAGAAAGTTCTGGAAGCAGAGGTCTGAGGCCAACGGTCAATGGGAGGGGCCCCCTTCCTGGGGGTCTGTGCAGACTCAGGGTGGAGAGTGTGGGAGGACTGTGTAGCTCTCACACCTCAGCTCTGGCACTCCCCATCCTGGCCTGAAAACTGCTCTATCACCCAGATCCCAAAGGGCACGGTTGGGATCTGACTTTAACCAACATTTACTGGGTGCCAACAACATGCTCAGCACTTTGCATGCATCATGGCATTGAACCCTTACCCCACAAGATGATCTGCTGGTGGGACTCACGGGCCACAGGTAACAAGATGCCTGGTGACTCTTGGCTAAGCGATGGAGAGGATGAATTCTCCCCCTGTAAAATGTGAAGGAGACAAGCCCCATGGTCTGAGCAGAGGCTCAGTGACACCTTTGAGCACCGGGTGCTCTCTAATTCAGAGCCCTTCATGTGCATGTGTTTCATCCTGATGCTGGTCATCCCATGGCATGGGGATGGCTGCCCCAGCCTAATGATCACATCCTTATACACAGTGTCCCAAGCAGGGAAAAGTGGCTTCATGTGTCTTTCCTTTCTGAGGGGAACATGTTCTTATGAACATTTCACCCCCAGAAGACTCCTATCTCTCATTGGCCATAAGGGAGTGAGTGATCGCCCCTGGTTACAGGCATGCTGGGAAAGTGGGTGTCTCCAAGGGTCGGGAGTGACCATACGTTATAGTTAAGTGTCTGCTGCAGGGGGGTACTGTTGCTACCCTCCTCTGCAGATGAACAAAATCAAGGATCAGAGCGATGGCTGGTGTAGGGCTTTATAGGGTTTGCAGTGGCAGAGCAGGGACCCCACGTCTTTCCAACCCCTGTCCGGTACCACCTGGCAGGGACACCCAGACAGCCATAATGCAGGCTGACGAGTGGAGAGTGCCAAGTGCTGTGGGGACACAGAGGACAGAGATTCTGCTCAGGCATCGTCAGGGGGAGTGAGCTGGAGAGGAGAGCAGCGGTTATCCTGGCCTTTGAAAGGTGGTAGGACTTCAGCCAAGTGCAAGGGAAATGGAACAGGGAGGGTGAGCCCCAGGATGAATGAACATAGATGATGGGACAGTTTATGGATTAATCAAGGCTCTCTGAGTTGTAAGATGAATTTGTCTTGGGTCACTGGGAAGCCTGGAGGAGAGGAGCTTCAGTCCTAGCCCAAGTAGGGGGCTCAAATGTGTCACTGGCGCCGTTTCTCTCCCTTGTTCCACTTGGCTTCACTATGCAGACAGGCTGGGTTAAGGTGAAAATCCTCCTGATACATAAAGCAAGTAGAAAGAGGATTTCTTGTCTGCAATATCTTTATACAAGCCCAGGTAAGACTCTAATTGGGTGTCTCAGTCCATTGAAGCTGCTGTAACAAAAATACATAGATTGGGTAGCTTATAAACATAGAAATTTCTTTCTCACTCTCTGGGGGCCTGGGGAGTCCAGGACCAAGGTGTTGGCAGGTGTGTTGTCTGGTCAGGGCCAGCTTCCTGGTTCAAAGATGACCACCTTTCTGCGGTGTCCTCACATATGGCAGAAGGAGCAAGGGTGCCCTCTGAGACTTCCTTTATAAAGGCATGAATGGGATTGACCGAATCACTTCCCAACGGTCCCACTTCTTAATACCATCACATTGGAAGTGAAGTTTCAATATACAAATTTTGTGGGGGACACAAACATTCAGTCTATAGCAGTAGATCATGTGCCCATCCCTGAAGGTGGTGTCTGACAATGGGATAGAACACAGAGAGCCACAGTCTTGCCAGGATGGTGGAGAGGTACCTACTGAATGATAAGGCAGAGGTGCAGGGCACACAATATATATCACTAGTACATGTACGATCTGTAATTGGTGCCTTCCACTTCTGTACTGTAGTTTCCTCAGCCGGAAATGGGACTAATGTGATCATCCCTACTCATACATAAGGTCTGGGGCAGATTCCACATAAGAAGCATTTCCCTAATGATTGGTGAAGTTGAGCATCTTTCCATTTGCTTATTGGCCATTTGTATATCTGTTAGGAAGGTCATGGAAAAGACACAACCACCAGTTGACTTGTAAGCTGGACCCGGGCTCTTGGAAGCTCCTCACCTACTTCCCCTGTCCTTGGGTGTGGGTTCCGCTTGCCTTTCCCACTACCAGAGGCTACTTCAAGGACATAGACGTGAGACAGGGACATGGTGTTGAGAACACCTGCATGGTATATGTGACTGAACCTGGTTGAGGCCTCCATATAAACTTATATGATTTCGTGGGCAGAGGTGGGTTCTATCCATCTTGCTGCTTTGTATGTAAGTTCCTTTTGTTTATTAAAACCACCACCCGCCAATCTGGAGCAGCCGCCTCTTTCTTCAGTCTCTTCCTGCCCTCTGAGTACAAGGGACAGTTTCAGATTACACCTGGAAAGCTCCCAAGAGTGCTGTGGACCAACAATATCTCCTTTGGAGAAATATCCATTCAAATCCTTTGTCCATTTCTAACTTGGGTTTGTTGTTGTTGTTATTGTTGAATTTTTGGAGTTCTTCATTTTTCTGGGTATTAA